GGATACACTAGGGGAGTTGGGGCACTTTGCTGGGGGGGATACACTAGGGGAGGTGGGGCACACTGCTGGTGAGGATACACTAGGGGAGGTGGGGCACACTGCTGGGGGAGGGATACACTAGGGGAGTTGGGGCACTTTGCTGGGGGGGATACACTAGGGGAGGTGGGGCACACTGCTGGTGAGGATACACTAGGGGAGGTGGGGCACACTGCTGTGAAAATCACAGTGAGAAGCACCCAAGCGCCTCTAGCGGCTGTCAACGAGACAGCCACTAGAGGAAATAGGGGAAGGCTTAACCCATTCATAAACATAGCAGTTTCTCTGAAACTGCTATGTTTATGAAAAAATGGGTTAACCCTAGAAGGACCAGGCACCCAGACCACTTCATTAAGCTGAAGTGGTCTGGGTGCCTAGAGTGGTCCTTTAATTTTCTGCAACTGTCTCATCAAAAAACAAACCAAGCCTTCACAGAAAACTATTCTTGCAAGCAGCTTTTCCAATATATAAAATACATCTTACTCTTAACTCTTATGTCACTTTACCCCACATCCTATCCTCCTTGAATTCCTAAAAGTTGCGAGGTGAGGCCTCTGTGGGTCAGAATTGTTCCAGCACATCCCACAGATGCTCAATTAAGATCTGGTGGATTTGGAGACCTAAGCGACATCTTTAACTCTTTGTTATGTTCCTCAAACTATTCCTGAACCATTTTTTCTAGTATGACAGGGTGCATTATCCTGCTGAAAGAGGCCACTGCTATCAGGGGTGTATGTGACATGCAACAATCTCTAAGTAGGTGGTGTGCGTTGAAATGGACATCCACATGTATGTCAGAACCCAAGATTTTCCAGCAGAACAGTGCCCAGAGCATAACACTGCCTCCACCAGCCTACCTTCTTCCCAAAGTGCATCCTGCTGCAATCTATTCCCCAGTAAAATGGCGCACACGCACCCGGCTATCCAACTGATCTAAAAGAAAACGGGATTCATCAGACTAAGCAGCCTTCTTCCATTGTCCAGTTCTGACACAGCCAACTAGAATGCACTGTGGGTTCGGACACCTTTATATGGTGGTCAGTATTGTTTTTTTTCCGCAATTTGTGCTACAGTAGCTCTTTTGTGTGATTGGACAAAACAGGCTAGCCTCCGCCTTACTATTTGGAAAGCTACGTAAGCAAGAGTTTGCAAGAAACGAGTTAACATACAACATCCTATGCAGGATTCCCCCTAACTGCAGACCATCTCTCAGGGGCAGTACAAGGATTTTTTTTTCCTACCAAGGTAATAAAATAATTTGTTGCACCCACATACTGTGACATCACAATGTCCTACCCATATGATCCACACGTCATGACATCACATATGCTCCATCCCTTTTTATGATATTTATTTAAATTAATCCAAAAGATATTTCACATTCATATACACTCATGCATGCACCCTTTTACCTGAAGACTTGGAGAGGGACATTACACTCCCTAGTGGTCCAGTGGCTTTGTGCAGAATGAGGGAATGTGGCTCGGAGCGTTGCTGTGGTAACCTACAGTTCGTGCATAGTGCCATCATATCCCTTCCGTATAATAGGCCTGTGGGTTCACTATTCCAAAATGCATGACTTTGTATTGAATCTAATTTACCACTTCCATGCAGAGTTTATCCAAATCCCTTTATAGACACGTTTTATCATGTTCAGACTGTATTATCTTATCTAGATTTGGGCCATATGCAAATACTGACACACGACTCTCAATGCCTACTTGAAGAGAATTTAAGAATTCGGGGTTTTTTTTGTTTTTGTTTTTAGAAAAGTGGTCCCAGAACAGAACCAAAGCAGAGCAGTAATCTCTTCTTGCGTAATGCTTGTTAGTGAACATAGGACAGAGTGGGGGTGGGCAAAGTGGGGTAGTGGTTTGAGAAAGCCTGACAATAAGGTAAAACATGTTAGTATGGTACTCTTTTATGCTTTTACATTTTATTTTCAATAAAAGTGTTTTTATACACCTAATTTTGGACCTTCCTGATTTCAACCAGAAGATTGTACCAGCAAATCCCTTGGTGGGGATTATATCACCTATGCCAAAACCTCTTTTGCTCTCCACTTGTGAGTACATCTCATTTTATTACTTTTACCTGTTTTAACAGTGAACACTATTTTGTTTTATATATATATTTATTAAGAATCTGCTGCTATATACTATAACCAATATAGTGGAAACTTCTGTACACCCAAGTTTGTGGACTACCTCATTGCATGCGCATCACAGAGCCAATAGTGGGCTCAGTAAATTGTGAGTGTACATCCATATCAACTTTTTTATTCTGGTGTTTTGAACATACTACACTATATTGGTTGTTTTTGTTCTTTACCATCTGGAGTCTCCCCATTGGATCAAGACACCAAGTATATCCACATGCGGGGATTGTATCACCCAGGCGCATACATTTGGAGCTAGTTATCAGCTCCAGAAAAATGTAAATGCATTACTTTTGATTTAGTTCCCCAGAACTTCAACATACTCTATATTCTGCTCTTCAACCACCTTTCTTTTACATATCCGCCAATCTTTATTTGGATTGGCGGATACCCTTAAAGACATGACATGTGTGATGAAATGCCTTTGGTCACTGGATTTTTAGGTGACAAGCTGCCCTTTGCCCCTGGCTGTTGGAGGAGCCTGAGTGCCAGCCTCCTGCCTCATGACTATGGCCCCATGTTGAAATGCTTCATTTTCCCCTGCAGAAAGGTTTGTGTATTTCTGCCGGGGCGTTCTGGACTTTCAGTATGGGTGCTGCTTCCCTCCCCCTTTTATTCCACTTAAATTAGTTTAGTGGCAGGATAACAACTTAGGCAGTGAGAGCAATTAGGCAAGTACAAAGACAAAGTAATGTAGAAATGTCAAAAATACTTAAGCTTTTCTTAATGTGTTATTACAATTCCTATAGCATGTAAGCTCATTTTATCAAAGCCCTCAACACCCTCTGTTCCTGTGCATCCAACTTGTTCTGTTGCAAATACTTGTCTGTTAGACCACCTATTGTACAGCGCTGCGGAATTTGTAGGTGCGTTATAAATAGCAATAATTATAGTATACTGGAAGGGCAATCCCCTCAAACCTAGCTTGACATGTTTCATTAATCTAGGGCACTTATCCATAAGCATATATAGAAAATGTATGCGTGGGTGTGTGTATATATATATTTTTTTTTTCTCACTCCAGACATTTCTCTCTGCCATCTCTTGCTGTAGGTTATGTCTGTCACCATATCAACCTCATGTCAAACTCACAACTGCCCAATCTACGCAGAGAACGGAGTAGGGAAAAAGCAGGGGCATAATCATGCACCAAAACCACTTCATGAAACACTACAGACACAAATGACTTTGGCAAACTATGTGGGATTTTTCAATGGTTTAGAAAAGTTTGCTTTTGCAAGCTTTTTTTCATATATCCTAAAGAAAACATGCAAACATGTTCTTTGTGTGTATACATAGTTAAAATAAATCAAGCATTCCTTTAAAGGAACACTATAGAGTCAGGGACACAAACATGTATTCCTGACCCTATAGTGTTAGAAACACCATCAAGCCCCTCTGCCCCACTAAATATAGTAAAAATCTTACCTTTATTCCAGTCTGCTGGTGCTGGCTCTGCCCTTGGCTGACATCAGAAGTGTTGATTTCAGCCAATCACAACACTTTCCCATAGGAAACTATTGGATTGGCTGAGCTAGTCAATGAGGCAGATCAGAGGCAGAGCCAGCACAAGCCAACACAGACCTGATAACTTAGCATCTCCTTGTTGAATCAATGCATCTCTATGAGGAAAGTTCTGTGTCTCCAGGGGTGGAGGGGTGAAGGTGGAGACCCTGAATGTCAGTGCTGCACAGTAAGCAGCACTGCCCCAAGAAACACCTCTATTGGCCATCTGAGGAGTGGCCACTGTAGGTGTCCCTAGGCTGTAATGTAAACATTGCCTTTTCTCAGAGAAAAGAGAAAGTGTTTACTGCAAAAAGCCTCCAAGGACTGAACATACTCACCAGAAAAACATTAAGCTGTAGTTATTCTGGTCACTATAGTGTTAATTTAAACCAAGTGGTTTTGGTGCCTCTACTGACCCGTGTACAGAAACCAAACAGGGCATTATGGTGGCCATTCATTCTTTAAATGTAAAAGTAACCTGGTTATCAATTAATTATAAATAAGTTTCTCTAAATGAAAGATTCCCATTGTATTGGGAGTCAGTACAGTATTTTTTTCTATTGTGGGCTGTTGTGTGTTAGAAAGTATGATATTTATAGATCCTTATTAAAAAACTTTTTTTTTTTTTTTTAATAAGGATCTATAAACTGAATCAGAGATTAAGAGTTAAATTATGCAATTATTGAAGAGGTTCAATTTTGTCACTCCATTTAGTAATCATTTAAATATATAAAACTATAGCCATGTAAATTAAAAACAGTCTTAAAATTTGTTCAAAAACTTTTATTTACTATAAAGACAAAACCACCAGAAATACGTACAAATTCTACTATAAAATCCATTCATGGGTTAAAAACCTTTAATAATTAAAATATCTTGATATATTTAAAATAATAAAAGGATACATTTAAGCCACATTTTCTTAACCCACAGATTTCTGCAACATTTGCTTGCACATTAAGGCGCTAAGAGAAATTAGCCCTTGAGCCCTGGAAGTCTTAGGAATCATACAGCAAATATATAGTCTCATTGTGAACGTGAACTTTGGTAGAAGAAAAAAATAAAATAAAAAAAATCTATAGGACACCTGAGGTAGTCAAGACCAGAACAAACAGTAGGCGTTATTTACAACTTGGGAAAAAAGTACCAAATAACATTAAAAAAACATCACAAAAATAATTATACAACACAAGTTTCAGTCCAGCTTTGATCCAAAGAAATAAGATTACATCACAATTTGCATTTAAAAAAAAAAAAGGAACACCACAATTACAATAAAGCAGTAGGAAAAGTAGCACAAACCCAAAATGGAAGAGAGCTTGAAATGTGGAAGACATAGTAATCTACAAAGTAACACTGATCAGCGGAGGTGTTGCTCTGCCAGGTAAAGCGCCAATCTTCCAGTATAGAGCAGAATCGTGAGAGTGCGTCTAAGCAATTAAAGATTGGGGAGACAGAGTTTTAAGACTTTGAGGCCATAGCATAAGAGTCAAGTAAATTACAGTTAGAGCTACCAAATTTCACATTTAGGAATAGTTTAACTCTTTGGAACTTTCTTGGTTGTCACACAAAAAGGAATGTCTGATTCAAAGCGTTCACATTAACGCCTTGGCGTTGCATGCATTTTCATGGCTATTCAGATATTTTCTGACAAATCTTTTTTCTAAATCGTAAAGAGTACATCTGATGAAATGTACAGTAGCTTATTTTAATTATCCTGAGTAATTCTTTCAATGTGCAACATACCAACTGTCTTCCAATGAGTTAAAAAAATAAAATAAAAAGATTTGATTAAAAACCTATACCAAGGATAACAAAGCAATGCAACAGCTGCCATTTTCCTTCAGTTTTACATGCACAAAATAACCCATAAAACCCCTTTTAAATAGAACATTTAAAATTCAACAAAGTATCCCCAGCATAGCAGATGCAAGAGATGTTCAGTTCTCAGCGCATATGAGGTGCAAGGCTTTGAGCTCATAAAACTGCCCTCCAGTCGCAAAAAGAAAAGAGACATTTTCAAGTAGTTTTTTTTTGTTCTATTTAACCCTTTTGAGTGTCTGCAACATTAGGCATGAATAAAAGTAATGCTTATCCTACTGGCATTCAAAGGGTTAAATTGCAGACCAGCCAGTTCCTATTTATGATGTATACTGGAAGGAAAACCGCAGTTAAATCATTTGATAATTAAAACTATATAAAAAAAAAAAAAAGAAAAACTTGGACAAGTCACAAAGTTGATCTGGGATTTTTTTACAGCTTAAAAACGCTATAAAAGTAGAGAAAAAAAAAATTGATTATTCCAGAATTTCAAGATTTACAGACCAGACAGGGAGAGCAATTAAAGCCCTAGTCAAATAAAAACAAATCTAAAGAGCTGAAATAAACATTTATATGAAATTCTGTTTGCTTTGATGCAATTAAAACAAACACAAATTTGCAAATGAAATGATGTAACTAAGAAATGAATAAAACATGAAAAAGCTGTGAAGAGGTCAGGCCATGTTATAAAATGGCAGCCAAACTACAGTGTGGACAGTATTTCTACATTGCAGAACCTTTATGGCCTTGTTAACAATTCTCCCTAAAAAAATAAAATCATAAAATTGAATACTGTTCCCTGCCCTATTAGGATACATGTCACATACAAGGCATTCGACCACTGCTTTCTTACAGGTGCGCCACTTACATGCAGGTGTGAAAATATTTATGCATGCTTTAATATTCTGAAAAAAAAATAAAAAAAAATATATATATATATATATATATATATATATATATATATATATATATATATATATATATATATATATATATATATATATATATATATATGTAATTTTATTTGAAATACAATAATGGCAGAAAGGGAAAATCCATTTTCTAATTTAAGGAAAAAGGGTCTCCCAAAAGGCACAATTTTAAGAATATATTTAACATATTTCATTTTAGAAACATAAAACCTCTACCTCTGAAGCTTTTAGAGGTTTTGAATTGTCATGCACAGGGACGGGATCCTATAACCACGTATGCATATTTTTGGCTAAAAGAACAGGACACGCTTCTGTATTTTAGCCGGACCCGCAGGTTCCGTAGTCAGTAGCAATTTAATTTTTGTGTAAAATAAGCTGGATCTTTTTCCATTTGTAAATTCTCTACCACTTTGTTCGAAAGACTGGGTGCTTCAACAGTTCCCTAGAAGGTGGTCTGTCTTGAGGCTGGAGTTCCAAACACCGAAGAGTCACGTCCCGCAGACCTGGAGACAGGTGTGCTGGTATTGTAGGAGCTGTGGTTGCACTTGCAATCTACACAAACAAAGTGTTTTTAAGGATATAAAATTTATCAAAATACTACAGTCAAAATTACAATGTTTAAATTAATTATAGTAACTTTGTACATTAATTGCAGGTTTACTCTTGAACATTTTCTTCACCCAAACTCTGAAATTGCTCTCCACATCCCTTAGAAGTACATTTTATCTATGCCAAGATTTAAACATGTTCTTTTACAGGGATACTACATATTTAAATACAATTCAAAACAAATCCATGAATAGCATTTGTGCCATGCAGACAGTCCACGTAAACACACACCACCACAAACAGCCCAAATACGCACACTTGACATCAAAGACAGCACACACGCATGCACATATTACCACAGTCAGCACAGATACACATACACACAATACAATAGACCGCACATGCATAAAAGGCAGCTCTTAAGCAGAAACAATATCACAAGCCTGCAAGCAATGCCGTAAAGCCCTCCACTGCACTCAATGCCACCAGACACACTCATAACACCAGAGACATCACACACACACACACACACACACAATATACATCCAACACCAAAGACAACACATACACATGCAGCCAACATATACAAATCATAAAAACTAACAAAGGGGGGCGTACAACCATACAGAATTCTCGAACATTAATGTTGCCTTGAAAAAAATAGAGCCAGCACCCTAAAGGGACTTGAGTGTTTAATTTTGGCACAATGCCATTAAAAGGTTGCTTTCCCATGGTAGAACACATATTTGTATACAGAACATGTATTGCTGTAAATCATGCCTATATTTAAAATAATAAGGAACAATACAAATAGTCAGCTTTAAAAAAAAAACAAAAAAAAAAAAACCTATGCAAACATACATGCTGGGAATTATAGCCTGACCAACTTTTAGGAATTTCTCATTAACCCCGTGTTATCCAACACTCCTCCCTCAAATACCGTATAGCAGGCACTCTATATAAAATGCAACATACAGGGTTTTGAAAATATACTCCAGCCTCCATAACCACTTTTGCTTTTAGAAGTGGCCATGGAGTAAGCAATTCATATGTGCAGCATTTCTGCATGAAATGCATCATATGAAGATACCTGCACTTTTGTGTTGGGGCTAGATTTACCTCCTGTACATGTGACTTGGGTAGCCCAGATCTCTTCATTCAATGCAAAAATTCAATCTGTCAGTATGCAGCTGCACGTGTATTCTTATTTTACAAAGGAGTATGGACAAAGTTACTAGTGTCCATGGAGGCATTATAAATTAAAATAAAGACATAGTGAAAAGGGTTTGGAGTAACACTTTAAAATGTTTACTCTGTTAGACAGCAAGTAATTACATGGTGGTTACCTTAAATATGAGTGCAAGGTGGTTTGAGTGTTTTTCTGCATTCCAGGGTGGTTTAGCACAAGACATCTCAATTATGCTGCAACCAACACTCCACACATCACAACTTCTTCCATATTGCTGCCCCCTTAATACCTTAAAATTGAAAAAAAAAAAAAACAATTATTCCTGTGATAAGACCATTTGTATCATTTGAATATTGGGGACGGCTGAGCGAGGCAAATGTAGCACCACAAGGCAGTATCCTAAGAACCGGATCATACACAAAAAAATATTCTAAGAGGAAAAATATGAACTTCTGTTACTGCTACAAGAATACAAAGGACAGCTTTTTAAAATTTTATATTTTTAGATGTCATCTGTGCCACATGCATTTGATAACAAGCGTTCAACATAACACTTTTGCCAACAGCTTTCAAAGACTGACAAAAGAGAATTTTTTTTTTCTATATTATAAATTAACTGCCCTCGCCTATCAACATAATGTTAGTATATTAAACAAACTTCAAAAAAATCTTTGCAAAGTAGTAACAGAATAAGGAACATATTTAATAATCATTAAGAGTACCTCTGGTGCCATGAATGCAATGGTTCCCAATAACTGTCCCTGAAATTCTCCAGCACCAGTGCCTTTCGATGCCAAGCGAGCGGCAGCTCCAAAATCAGCAATTCGTAGCCGATGTCCAGTGCTATCAATCAACAAATTTGCACCTGGATTTTGGGTGAGAAAAAAAAAAAAAAAACATTTTACATTCTTTAACTACTCCATACCAAGAGAGGAGAAGAAATAATTTGCTTGCTGCCAAGTGCAACGTTCAGCACGGTCTTGATTACAGTGTTGGGAAAACTTATAAACGCTGGTTTTGGTTGTAGTAACCCTTGCTAGCTAGTGTTTCTTTGAGGAGAGAGAAGAGAGGGGCGTGGTTGTATATGTATGTATATTATTCTGGGTGGGCATGTGCAAATTAGTTTAATAAATAATCAAATTTTTGCCTCATTCCATTTTAAATATGGATTCCTTTTAATCTGTGTTTGCAGTATACAACTGCTTGGAACACAATAAGCAAACCAGTAACCAACCTCATGCTGAAGAGTTGCATTAACAACGAAACAGCTGTCCATGAGTGGTTCACTGGTTTTGCATCTTTTCCTAAATTGTGTTCCAAGCAGTTGTATACAGCAAACACAGATTAAAAGGAATCCATGTTTAAAATGGAATGAAGCAAAAATGTGATTCTTTGTTAAACTAATTTGCATATGTCCACCCAGAATCCTTTGTGGTTGTAACATCACTGCAGATTTGGGATTTTTGTGGGAAAAGCAAGTCTTATGGCTTGACTGGTGTGCAGATTTTTGTTTAACATTGTATTAAATATATATATAAAAATTACTAAAGTTGTCATGGTGTAATCCTTCAACCTAAATTACTGATATAGGATTACTTCAGTAGGACTTAATAGAGAATAACATTTTGCTTCAAATTGTCAAATTACTTAGCAGGTGTAGAGATAGATTTGCTAAAAAAAAAAAAAAAATTTAGTGAATTAATTACATTTTCTCACACAATCCTTGCATGTCATACCTGAATGCATAGCATTTACGTCAAGCTTTGTGGGAATTCGCACTATACATTACAGGAGACACACTGAACTTGCCATCTAGCTGGACCAGAAGCAAATCAAGTATTTAGTTTTACAGCTACACATTTACTGCGGAAATCACATGCACAACATACAAAATAAATGTTACATTCGGACAAAAAGATGGTGTCTCACATTTCAAGGACAGCAAATGACTAAAGGTCATGTGGGGATTGCAGACACACATCACAGATGTTCAGCTGCAATTACCAAGATTCTCCAACACAGATAAACAGTGGGAAATGTAGCCATGTGATATATACCTTTAATGTCTCTATGGATGATCTGGTTCTCGTGAAGGTATGATAGGCCAAGCAGCAGTTGCTCAGTGTAGTTAATGATGACAGATTCCTTGAATGCTCCATATTTACTAAGCAGATGAGCAACAGAACCCCCTGGAAGGAAGTTTCATGATTAGAATTATTCCACAAACAGGCCAGTGTCATTGTGTTCTCCCAGCAACCACTGATCCTTACCTGCCATCCACTCAATGAACAGATTGTAGTTGTTCTTTTCACATGTTGATCCCAGCATTCTGATTATATTTGGGTGAGAGAGGTGATTCATCATTCTTATTTCTTCTCTCAGAGCTTCAACCACCTCTCCTTGTTCAGATGATGTATTGCGCACATATGTAACCTGTGAATAAGTAACATTCTAGTTGAACAACTTTTAGGACATTTCTCAATTAAGTGACTTCGACATGTGAAAGAGTAAAGATGATTATTAGTATCTAATGTAAAAAAACAAAAATGGAGGGTATGCAAACAACTTAAAAGCAAGCCTGCCTTTCTTTTATTAGATCAGATTTGGCTGTGTTCTGGGACCTTTAACTTTTTGATTTGGTTTACAACAAAGATCAAAGCCTTGAAGCACCATTTCAGTGGAAAAAATATAAGCATATATAGCATTATTTGGAAACACACTTTAACAAAATACTAATGCAAGCTTTATGTAATGGACACTAACATTTTCAGGGACAGTTTAAATATATACTGCATTAAACTTAATTTGCGTGTGACAGGTAAATATATATATTTATATATATTTTTTTATAATATTTGTTTATTGGTTTACATGTTTATGGGGTACAGAAGAGAGAAAGGGATATAGGGGTTACAGTTTCGATGTCTCAGACATTTGTTCAGTACATATTCAGTAAGGGGGAGGGAACATAAAGCAAACATTGGTTATAGCCTTGTTATACACAAATTCTGGGTAGGTGAGGCTGTGCGGCACGTCAGTACCCTTCTACGTGTTGAACTACTCGTAACATGGTGCCTTGAGTTAGATTTTCTTGGGTCAAGAAGTAGCGAGTGCAAGATTTGGTCGGCGTTTCTAAGTGCGACCCGGCATTCCTGCCTCTAAGTAATCTTAATACCCCTCAGGGTATACTCATGGGTGTATGTAACCTTGGGTACATGTGTTTCCAATGTTTCCATACAGTTTGGAGTTTCTGCACTGTTTAATGACATATACACACACACACACACAATATTGTTGGATCTTGTCCCATAATTGTGATTTTGAGGGGCATACGTGCGATTTCCAGTGTGTGGCTAGGAGGTTCCTAGCGGCTAGAAGTATAATGGCACATACCTGCCTGTGTTCTCTAGCGAGATCAGTAGGATATAGGAGCATTAGGTAGGTTTGTGGGTTTATTGGTAGGTTCGATATGCCTAATTTTTCTAGCATTTTCCGGACCTCTATCCAGAGGGGTTGGATGTTTGGGAATGACCTGGTTGTTGTTGAGCACCTCCAGCATATTGGTGGTACATTAGGGTAGATTTTGTGGTGTCATATACCACCTGTAGATTAGTTTCCTGTAAGCTTCTACTTGTGTGTAGCATCTAGTGAGTTTAGATAAGTTGTTGGGGGCCCTTACCCAGTCGTCGTCGTCTGATAATTGAAGGGAACAATCCTCCTCCCATTTTGTTCTACGAAGTGGGTTATGCTTTGGTGTCGTGCTTTCCCATATTTTGTAGCATAAGGATATGGTTTTTGGTTTGCCGGGAGTAGTCCAGCATCTATCAAGAATATCTTCAGTAGGTAGTGATTTGTCTTTTTGGTGTGGTAGTTGTGCACATGAGTCAATATAGTTCCTTTGAGTCTCAGGTATGTGAACAATTCCGTAGCTGGTAAGTGCCATTGGGTCTGTAGGTCCGCAAATGGGATTACTTCCCCGTTATCTGTTAATTGATGGATGTGAGTAATTCCTACTTTAACCCACCTAGCTAGTGGTAAGTCTGTGGTCATGGATCTCAAGGCAGTCAGTGGTGCCCTGATGTGAAAGGAGGTTTTGCAGTCTAGTATATTCATAAATGCAACCCACACTCCTAGAGTGAAGGTTGTGGTGGGAAATAGGTTCGCGTGAGGGGTACGTAGGTGTTTGGGTGTCCATAAGAGATCAACAATATCGTAATCTGGTATTTGTGCTCTTTCCATATCTACCCATTTTAGGTCTCCTTTGGGCAAGTGTAGGAGTATTCCCTGCTGCTAGTGCCGTAGCCTTATAGTATTGGGTAATATTTGGAAGGCCTACTCCTCCCTGTCTAATCCTGGGTGTGTAATAGTTTGTTAGGTATTCTGGGTTTCTTGTTGTCCCAAATAAAAGTGTTGCATGTAATTTGTAGTGATTTGAGTAGGGATCGTGGTATCTTAAGGGGGAGCATTCTGCAAACATAGGATCTTGGGTAGTATGGACATTTTAAATGCGTTAATCTTCCCTAACCAGGAAAGATATGTGTGCTTCCACGCCAGAGTTTCTGTCTTACATATGTGTGATAAAAGTAGTTGAGTTTTATGATTGTGGCAATGGATGTCACAATTTTAACTCCCAGATAGGAGAGAGATGAAGATCTCCAGTCAAATTGATATTGCTCTTTTAGTAATGTTTTTAGCCCTAAGGGCATGCCAATTGGCAGTGCTTGGTTTTGGCCTGGTTGTGTTTATGAGAAACAAGGCCGAACTCTAAAGGTTTGCATAAGGTGAGGTAGGGATTTTTCCGGGTCTGCCATTGACAACAAAACATCATCGGCAAACATCGCCAATTTGTGTTCTTGGCCTTGCATTTGGATTCCTTTGATATAGGGATTTGTACGTATTTTAAGTGCTAATGGTTCCAGTGACAGGATCTATCCCATTTGTGATATAGAATTCAGAGTTGAAGTCCCCGGTTGAGACCTTGGCTGCTGGGGCGCTATATAATGCACCTATCCCTCCAACCATTTCGAGCGGGAATCCATAGGATTCCAGGACTTTCGACATATATGTCCAGTTGAGGCGGTCGAAGGCCTTCTCTGCATCTTTTGTCCCTCTCCATTTGTGTTAGTATATTGAGAATTCAACGAGTATTATCAGAGCCCTGACGGCCCCGGACAAACCCAGACTGGTTATTGTGCACTGTCTGAGGAGTGGAGCTAATCTATTACTTCGTATTTTGGCATACAGTTTAGCGTCTCCGTTTAATAGGGTCTGAAATTTTTACATATTGTCAGTGATTTTCCAGGCTTGGTGAGGGTGGAGATATGGGCCATAAGTATTTCAGCAGAGAGAGCTCCCCGTTCATTGCTCTGTCGGTACAGATTTAATAAGTGTGGAGAGAGGATATTTACAAATAATTTGTAATAAGTATTTGTAAGGCTGTCTGGTCCCGGTGATTTGTTAGCAGGCAGGTCTGCAATTGCTAGTGTGACTTCCTCCAGGGATATGGGTTTTCGTAGGGACTGTACTGCGGTTGGGGTCAGTAAAGGCAAGCGCAGCTCTGTCAAGAACTCTTCTTTGTCTGTTATGGTCGGGACATTAGTAGCCTCGTACTTGCTCAGGTTATACAATTTATGGTAATACTCCGCAAATTAATTAACAATTTCCCCGGGGTCAATGATTTTTTGACCCTTCCCGGTTTTGACGTAGGCAATCCTGGAGGCGATTGTTTTTTGTTTTAGTTGTGCTGCTAATTTAGCTCTGGCTTTATTCCCTGCCGCGAACAATTTCTGTTTTGATTTTCGTAGGAGCCAAGTAGTTTTTGCCAGTTCCATATCACGCAGTTTGGTCTGTAATGCTAGTAGGGTTCACTGTGTGTCTAGGGTGGACTAGTGTTTGTTCCTATGTGTGAGATTTAATCTCATTGACGAGGGCCAGGTATTGTGCTTGATGGGTTCTCCTAGCATGGCTTGCGTGTTTAATGAAGCTGCCTCTAATGACTGCTTTGTGCGCTAGCCAAATGTAGTCTGGGTCTATATCTGGTCTGTCATTGTCTGCAAAGTAATTTTGCAGGTCCAGTGTGATTTGTTTGACTATGTGCGGATTCTTGAGTAAGGCTTCATTTAGCCTCAAAGAGGTTCAATCATTGGTAGGGAATCTATCATTGAGTGTCAGTGTGATAGGAGCGTGGTCTCACCACGTAATGTCGCCAAGTACTTTTGCAAGTGAGGCAGTTCTGATCAAGAATCTGTCGATTCTGGAGTAACTACTGTGTACTGCAGTATGACAAGTGTAATCAATTTCAGTGGGGTGAATTATTCTCCAGGGGTCTACGTAATCATGTGTTGATAGGATGTTGCAGATGTTATGGGATTGTGTGAGCTGTCTCTTTGAGGTGGTGGGTGCCACTGTGTCTGAGGCAGATGAGTCTTTGGTACTGTCTAGGTGAAGGTTGGTATCGCCTCCAAGTATTACCTCCCCAAAGCTGTACAAATTTAACATAGCAAATACCTGGGTTATAAATGCTTCTTAATTGTCATTGGGCCCATAGATATTCATTAAGGTAAAGGGATTGTTATTCAGATGACACTGAATGATGAGATATCTACCTTTCTTATCACTGATTTTGCGGATTAATTCAAAGGTTACGTTTTTGCTTATTAGGATATAGACCACTCTTTTTTTTGTAGAATAACAAGAGTGATGGTCTATAGGAAACCAGGGAGAGTTAAACCTGGGCCGTGAGCCCCATTTGAAATGGGTTTCTTCAAAGAAGGCAACTTGTGCTTTCTGTTTAGCTTCCAATAGTGCTAGTCACCTTTTATTAGGGCAGTTCAAACCCTTTGTGTTTAGAGAGAATATTTTGATCGACATTGTGCCGTTAAGTGGTTAATGGGTTACAGCAATTGAGATCTTCTCTCGACTCGCAGTCTTGTCTCGCTACAGTTCTGTGATTTGGTGGTAAGGAGGAGGTAAGGTGGGGTGGGTGACAACTTATAACAGTTTAACGTGAACTATATACAAACCAGTTAGCCGGGTGGCCTAGCGCAGTATTCTGCAAATGGATACGTTTATGGCTTGGTAGGTAAGCCATGTGGGGTATCGTGGGAGTTGCTCAGTTAGATACTTTGTAAGTATTTTCTAGGGTTAAACAATTCAGGGTATATCTATTGTTGTACAGTCTTGCGCATATACTTGTAACCCTCTTATCAGATACACTTTTCAGGTGGTACCTGATAATGGTTCAATTATAAGATAAGGTTGGCAGCATAAATCTAGTAACTTTAAATTATTTTTTTTCTATCCGCCTTGTGTAGACTCTCGGCTGTGAATCACATTGCAAGTGAAAACAGCTGCGAGGTTACACAGGGGAGCATCAGGCTCTCAGTTCCACAGTGTTTATACGTATCTGAAAGTTCTCAATGGCGAGCTGTGGCCTCACGGCCCGATGCATCAGTGTTCCGTGCCATGGGATGGATTGCGAATCTTTTGCGTTTTTTCTAGGTGGTGACGCTGCTGGTGATTTGGAGTTGGCAGATTGTGCTACGGGGATGTTCCATTCTCTGAGTAGTTTCACACCATCCTTCGGAGTGAGGATGATTTTATCTGTACCATTACGTTTCAGCAATAATTTCGCCGGAAATCCCCATTTGTACAGAATAGCGGCATTGCGTAGAGCCATGGCAAACGCTCTTCTTTTAAACAAAGTCGTCGCGGATAAGTCTATGAAAAGTTTAGCATCTGTAAACGGGTTTGGCAATGTCGGATTGCTGCGTGAAGCCTACATCAGTTGGTCTTTCACTGTGAAATAGTGAATTCGTGTGATTACATCACTTGGTGTTGAGGGCGGCAGATGCCTCGATTTCGGCAGTCGGTGAGTGCGGTCTAGGCGTAAGTCTGAGACCTCTAGTGTCGGGATGAGTGCCTGAAACATATCCTGCACGAACTTAGTTAGGTCTTGTGGGCCTACAGCTTCCGGTACACCTTTCAATCTAATATTTCTCTTTTCTCTATCTACGTTATCTGCTATTTTCCCCTCGAGGAAATTCACTTTTTGCTGCAGAGCTGTGTGTGCGCTTCTGCTAGTTCTTTATGTGCTTCTCTCAGCCCTTCTGTCGTCTCTTCTAAGTGTGCCTTTTGTCTCTTAAGGCCAGTATGTCTGCCTTGATGTGCGCCGCCATTTTAGAGAATCGGACCGCAGACTTTGTTGTAGTGAGTGCATCATTTTACTCACGGAGGCATCCGCGGCCGGTTGTGTGCAGGGGATGTCAGGGACATCAGGGACATCTTGGTCCTCCCCAGTATCACAGTACGAGTTTGCGGAGTTTGATCCGTCAGCGTCATCTTGGTTGCCGTTATTCCCCATTGTTAGGTGTGAATGCAGCGTTTTCTGTTTTCATTTTTTGGTTGATTTGTTGGACATCTTTTCCCCGTATCCTCAACAGCTCGTGGATGTGTCGCTGTGTGAATATTGCTGTGAATCTCGCTGTTGTAGTCCACTTAATGGCGGAGCTCTCGGTTTATGCTATTGCTTCCATGCGGTTTCAGGCCACACACCCCAGGTGAACTATATTTAAAGGGACACTAGTCACCAGAACCACTAACTTAATGCAGTGGTTCTGCTTCCTATAGTATGTCTCTGCAGACATTTTAAAGAAAAGACAGTATTTATATGGCTGCCTAGTAACACCTGTAATGGTAGTCACTCAGACAGCCACTAGAGATGCTTCCTATGTCAGTGTTACACTTTACGTTCAACGTCTCCATGCCCTGCATTTATTCTCTAATCTCTCCAATATTCTTTTTCCTCTGACCACCATCTGCTGACATTGGCATACCTAAGACAGAAACCTCCAATGTCTTGACCTTCAGTGGAGAGCATTTCTCCACTAATCTCAAACCTCACCTGTCCTAGTTCTGCAACCTTCTATAATTCCACCCTCTCCTCTCAGCTAGACATCATGGCACCTTGTACATTTAAACACCGCATTGTACAATCAGAGAAGAGATCTCATCTTTCTTCTTCCCCTTACAATACTTCCCCTAACATCACTCCCTCTGCTGTTCTATGTTCATTCGCACCCGCTACATTGGAAGAGGTTTCTGCTCTGCTCCAGTCCTCCCGCCTCACCACCTGCTCCCTAGATCCAATTCCCTCGCATCTGTCTTCTTCTCTTTCTCCACCTCTCACTAAAATTCTCAATCTCTCTCCCCCCTCTGGTATATTTCCATTGCCCTTCAAACAAACATGCAACTGTATCCCCAATTCCAATCTTGACCCTAACTCCCCATCCAACTATCGTCCTATCTCGCTACTGCCTTTTGCATCCAAGATCCTTGAAAAAAAATTGTGTATGCGAGATTGACAGACTTCCTCGAGTCAAACTCTCTGCTAGATCAGCTTCAGTCTGGTTTCCGCACTAAGCGCTCTGTGGAAACGGCACTGACCAAAGTATCCAATGCTCTACTCGCTGCAAAATCTCGTGGTCACTACTCTATCCTAATTCTCCTTGACCTGTCTGCGGCTTTTGGCACTGTTGATCATCAACAGCTTCTTCTAATCCTCCGCAATATCGGTCTACAAGATATTGCTCTCTCCTGGTGCTCCTCCTACCTCCCCCAGCGCTCTTTCAGTGTTTCTTTCTCTGGCTCTGCTTCTTCTCTCCCAACTCCTCTTTGTTGGTGTCCCCCAAGGTTCAGTCCTTGGTCCCCTACTGTTCTCCATCCCTTGGCTTCCAATATCATTTCTATGCAGATGACATGCAAATCTACCTGTCCTCTCCTGATCTCGCCCCATCCCTCTTGACTAGTGTCTAAACTTGACCAAAACGGAAATTCTGGTCTTTCCTCCCTCAAGTGTTGTTACTCCTGTCTCCCTCCAAGTCAACGGTGCTACCATCAAGCTCCACCACGCAGGCTCGCTGCCTAGGTGTTCTTTGACTCCGACCTCTCCTTCAAGCCTCATGTTCAATCTATCGCCATATCCTGTCATTTTCATCTCAAAAACATTGCGCGCATCCGCCCCTACTTAACGCCAGATGCGACTAAGGTGTTGGTTCATTCCACTGTCCTTTCTCGCCTTGGCTACTGTAATCCGCTTCTCAGTGGTCTTATGTGCTCCCAATTAGCGCCGTTACAGTCCATAATGAATGCGGCGGCGAGGCTCATCTTCCTGTCCGCCTGCACCTCCCATGCCTCACCCTTCTGTCAGTCCCTACATTGGCTTCCTATAAAATATAGAGCTCAATTTAAAATTCTGGTTCTTGCTTTCTCTACAGAATGCTGCTCCCACCTATCTATCCTCCCTTATACACAAGTATGTCTTGTCTAGGCCCTTACGATCTGCTGAAGACTTACGTCTATCTTCTGTCTGTACTCCCACCTCTGATGCTCGCCTTCAAGATTTCTCGAGGGCTGCACCGTTCCTGTGGAACTCGCTTCCCTCCTCCGTTAGATGCTCACCCAGTCTCCACTCCTTCAAAAAATCGTTAAAAACCCACTTCTTCATAAAAGCGTATCAATTAAACTGTTAATAGCTCCTGACTGATTCTTCAACTGTCACTAGTCTAATACTATCCTTACCTTTTTGTGTCATTTTACCCCACTCCCTCTAGCATGTAAGCTCATGGAGCAAGGCCCTCAACCCCTCTGTTCCTGTGTGTCCAACTTGTCTGGTTACAAATACATGTCTGTTCGTCCACCCATTGTAAAGCGCTGCGGAATTTGACGGCGCTCTATAAATATAATAATAATTCAATGAATCTCTATGAGGAAATAAGGAGATACCAATTGGTGCAGCACAGTGTTTTGCTGCACATGCACAATCGTCTCCCAGTGCTTTCCTATGGGAAAGCCTTCGATTGGCTGAGAGTTTAGATGGAGTATCTTAGCCATGGAGACAGGGCCAGCCACAGCGATGAGGTAAGTAAAATAGTGGTAGGAATATATATGTTTGTATTTCAAACACTATAGTTTTTCTTTATGACAGAATGCTAAGGTGATCCTTAGCATTGAATATTAAAGGTTTCTTTGTATGTGTGTGCATATTCTATAAAAAAAAATAAAAAATAAAAAAAAATATATATATATATATATATATATATATATATATATATATATATATAAAAAGTCACCTGTTTGACTGCCATTAATGTTCCCGTTCCAACATCCTGAGCTTGATAGCAGGAAGAAAATGCCCCTAAGCCAATCTGTTGACCTTTGAGCCATTCAGCTTCTTCTCTGTAGGGATTTTTTGCTTTGGTGTGACCAGGCAGGGTCTCAGGTGTCTGTTAAGTAATTTAAAAGCATGTAAGCTGAAGTACATCACGTTAGCAAACCCAATTCATTATCATATTAAATTGAAATCAATCCTTGTGTGTTTTAGTAGATTCAAATTTAATGAACTGAAGCGACTGCCCACTTTGCAAGTTCACAGTGAAGCAATGTATGTAAATATATAGATCACCTTCAAGTGGTACTTTATACTTTGAGGTCAATCCATGGCAAACTGAATTAATTTGCAACCTCAGTATAAAGAGCATTTATTCGTGTTTTAATCAATATTGAGGCAGCACATAAGGATTTATACATCTATATTCCTAGCCACGCCTACCCTGGAAAAATGGTTTTATTTTCGTATGTCAATACAAATACACAGATTAAACACTAAATGTGACGGAGATATTTTTTCCCTTGGGACATCAAAAGAATAGAGAACGTATTGGGTCACGAAAAAGACTGAATAAAACGGACAATAGCCTTTCTCTACTTAAAGGGGATACTATAAGCATCAAAACTTTAGCTAGAGGTCTAGAGACCTTTCAAGAGAAATTTCACGGCAGCCATAATCTTACATTTTGTGGTTTTCCTGTGCGCGTATAAGTATTTTGATTGTATATTATAGCGGATAGGACTTTATGGTGTCAAATCAAAAACCTCCCTAGAACTCATGAACTAATGAACTTCAGTTCATTAAATTCATAATTCTGATAGCTTAATTTCCTGAGCCTGAGGTCAAAAATAGCAGCATATTACTAATATGGTCTCATAATATACATATTACTAACTTAATTGAATACCACTGTAGTGGTTATGATGCCAGGAGTACATGTCACCATTCTTTGGTCATGGACCTGGTCCCACCATGCACCTGGTCTCCTCTGGTGCTGGTTGAATGACATCTTGCTTCTGCAGAGCTCAGAGGCATATCTAGTTAATCATTCATTGGCTGAGAACGTCAGCTGGGAGCTCTCAGCCAATGACTAACACTTTGCATAGAAATATGCACAGAATTGATATTAGCCATTAGGCCAATGTACTAATGATGCTGCCAGGGGTGGAGTTCGACCTCTGGTAACCTCATTAAATATCCCAGTATGTGCAGCATTTTATACTGAGATACGCACAGACATCATGATCATATCAAATCACCAAAGTGGCCAAGGTGCTTTCAGTAACCCTTTAAATGTAGCGCTTAATTCAGTTTAAAAAAAAAAAAAAAAAACCCCACTGAAACACATCATTAAATAAGGTCAATTGGGAAAGTGGTGTTACTTAAGACAGATTCATGTATAAACCTATATATGAGAAGCAAACAAACTTACATCCTGCTGGATAATTATAATGTCTTCCCCATTTTCAACCTGCAGTTGGGGTATCACTGGCAGGGCATCCTGAGAGGCAGACATTGCCAAAACTACAGCCAGTGCTTCTTCCTCCTCTGCTTCCATTTTCTCTTTGCATTTCTGATTGTGGCTAACATCATCTTTATATGTGTCATCAATCTCGGCCCGCTCAGGAGAAAGAACAGCAACTTCAGACTTGAAGGTGACTGTGCTATCACATGCTGGTATTGAGGCTTCCAAAAGGTCCTCCATACTGGAATTAAGCTCTGTGTTGGTGTCCAGTCGGCATTTCTCATCTACTGGTGTAAACACAGTGTCATCACTTGGTATAATAGCACTTGTATTACTACCACATGTCTGTCCATTTAAGTCAAGAGTCATACAACTTTTAGAAGTCTCTCCAGCTAAGCCTGCATCTCCTGGTGTTAGTCGAGATGGCTTTGGCCGGTGTATCATATGAGATGGTAATGGTCTTGCATGAGGGAAAACAGGAGAAAGTTTCTCAGGTTCCTTGCTACCTGAATAGTGCTTTTGTATTTGAAGAGAAAACTTCCTCTGTGTTTGAGGAGAAGCAGAAGACAGTTTACAGGGAGTGAATGTCTGAGGTTTGGGCTTGGTGACATCTGGGCCAGGACCAGCTGGCACAGAAGGAGTAGAAGTTGGAGATGGCATTATTGGGAAAAGGGAATTGGGGTGAGTAGAAGACGGAGAGTTCAAGCACTGACTTGGAGGTCTGCGTTTTGTCTGAATGGCAGGCTTTGGTTGCTCACTTGATACAGAAGTTAAAGGAAGCCCTAAATACACAACTTCCAAAGCAGCGTGCAAGTCCTCTGGGCTGGAGGCAAATTTTGAGTCACAATTGTCTTTGACCATTTTCCCTGATAGTTGCACAGTGTTTTCTGGGGAATTACTTTGTGAAATAACTGGGGAGTTTGCAGGGGCAGAAGGTGGCACAAAGGCTTCTCTGCGGTTTTCAAAAGCTTGAGGATCCTCCAGGCTGTGTTGAATAACTTCTACAATGTCCATTTCTTCAGCAATGGCCATTAAACGTCGCCGCATTCGAATGTAATGGGTCGAACTGGTTGTGCTCAACATTTCCAGAAGTTTGACATACACATGAGGAACTCTTGCAACCATTCTTGCAGCACTTAAGAAGACCCTGCGTGACAGTTTACCCACCATAGAATGGGAATTGTCAATAGATTGCAAGGCAAAGTTTAACAGTGATAGCAGGTTCTTATATCTGTGGGGAGAGAAAAAGAAATGTAAATATGCAGAAACCACTGAGTTGTGTAACTATAGAAATTCTAAATAAGCATAACCAGAGACTTCCAAATATTTTAATCAGCTGCCCTGTATGGTAACCAAATGGCTCTAATGTGTGGTTTCATGGCAGCCATGATTTAACAGAGATCCTCATGGCATATTTAACGAGGAATGGTAACTACAGCAGATTAATAAACGCAACAGCTGAGAGATTAATACTAAACAATTGGTATAAAAAAAACTAAGGAACCTGTCTGGATCTGAAAATTATTTTGTTTTTGAAAAATCAAGCATTAAGGAAAGCATAGCTTAAAATAGAATTCAAATGCTTCCTGGTTAAAGATTTTGTCATCCCACAGTAGTAGCCAGATCTCACCAATGACAAATACAGTGACGTCTGATAGCACAGAATTTAATGTCAAATCTCATGTTACTAGTACAGTTATATTGACTACATACAATTTACTAACTCAGCATATCGTAGAAATTCAAAGAACTATAACAGACAAAACTAGCGACAATTGCAAAAGTTAGAATATCCTAGACCTACAGTAATATATTCACATTACAGTCAGTCACAAGTACCAATACACACAGCAACCAAAACCTGATCAACACTCACAAATATACTGCTCAGGAGATTGCCTTAAATCACCAGCTTAACTATGCCTTAGGCTGGCAGAGAATACGTTAAAGTCTACATCCTATGGGAGATATGGAATTAGGCTCAGATAATCTAATAAATATGCCAAGAAAGTCTAAAAATATTAGATCGTTATAATTGTGTTACCGTATACTATATATTGCTTACAAATGACACAAAATGCACAGGATCCCCCAATATTTTGTAAAACTTTACCTTTCCATAGCTGCCTCAGCCTGTAAGACCTCACCACTGATAATGTGAGGATAAAACTCAGCAGGAAACTCAAGGAGAAGTCTATCGATCAGACAAAGACGGCCAAGGAGCGACTGCCAGTTGTTTGCCTCTGCTTGGGTTGCTAGAATACAACTTAGGACATATTCCACACCCCCAATTCCAATGGACCCTGAAAGATAATGCAATGTTTAATCCACTGAAAAACTATTTCTGTAAGAGAGGGGAACATTTTTTTATAAAATTATAAATATATACTGTAACACTAACACATACGGCAAATGTAGAATTTAAAAAATTTTTTTTTTTTTTTTTTTTAAACAGTAAAATAAATCCAATATGGGGGGCGGAGCCTAGCATCCAAGCTGAATGGTTGTGCTGAACCTCAGCTCCTGCTTAATCCAGCACTTTTGGGGGGTAATCTCCCCAAAACACAGCACAATCGGACACCGGGGGAACTACCCGATACCGAAATCAAATCTGTAACCCCCCGGGGACCCGACAACATACCCTGAGGCCTACCGGAGATTGAGCAGTGGGGAGACGGCCGCTCCCCGTGCTGACTGACCTGGACATGGCTCCCCTCAGGGCTCTCACCTCCAACCCCCCCACCCCGCCGGACCGATGGGGGTCATCTCGGTCCACATTCAGCGACTGGAGAAGCAGTCACGGGCTGAACTCACAGCTCGGTGAACGGCAGCACCAGGGCAGCCGAGCACGTGGCGAACCCAAAATGGCGGCGGCGGCAAGCACATTAGACGAAACAACTGACTGCCACACGGAAATGCTGGACTACTCAGCCAGGCTTAACGCTATTTTTGCAGCCTTCTGGGCAAAGCTGGAGAACCGGGCACGGCAGCGCAAACCGAGCACACATGAAACCCAAGCAACCTAGCTGCAAGCTACTTACTCCTCGACTACACAGTGCCCCAAGATGGCGCCGCGGAAGTAAATGTCCCCCGCCAACGAGCAAACGCACGAGAGGAAAACCAGCACCGGAGCTGGGCCACAGAGTGCTGCGAGCCCTCCACACACCCAGTGTCCAACCTCACTCTTCTTCCGAGCTGGGAGCTAACCAGGAGGTAGCTCTCCGCCACCACCCATACACCCATGGAAATATCCGGGACCCGGTGGAACCCTGGGCCCACGACCCCGATGATGGGGGTCAATGGAAATGTGGTACGGGCCCCCATCAAAGCCTCGGGCCGAAGACAAGTGGCACTCAAGCGACCTGGAATCAGAAGGTGCAGGAGGAGAATCGCAGCATGGAGGGCCAAGCGACCAGCTGGTCAAAGCAGGCATACAGGGGAAGCTAGGCAGCCCCCCAACCAAGTGCGAGGTCAGGAAGGTCTCCACCCTCATCCTGATGGACTGGCTCTCGTATGTTACAACACCATTCCACCCTGTGGAGTGGGCTGAACGCTCATCTGTACAACAAGCTCGCAGTCTACTAACCTTTTCAACCCTGCTGCCTACCTTACACTTCACCAGGACGCCTATCGCTTCTACCTACACGGACGTCGTACCTAACCCTGGACTCTCTCAGATAAGCAAATTTTACAAAGACTCTGTTCTCAGTTTAAACTATAACATGTGTTAATATGTCTAAGTCCAGGTTTCTATTTCAAGCATTTAATCTAGAAAACAACTGTTACTCACGACTTGCATCGACCTAACTCACTTACCTATAATTATTAAACAAAATGCATATGCAATGTATGAGCCTTACAAAACTTAATCTGGCCTATTGACCTTGTTACAGGGCTAACGACTACGACTTGTATATCGTTTACCGTTCTATGCCTGCATTAATGGTTAACTTCTAAGACTTCTCATTTGACAAGCGTGACTAGCATGTCTATTAATATACTTAGCATAATCATACACGCTTAAGAGCAACAACTTTTATTGTACACATACCTAGTCTAGCATGTTAGAGTGTTTGCAACTTACTCAAATACACCGCACCACATAAGCGGAGGGCCAAATCAGCGTTGATAAACTAGCCTGATGACTGGCCATTGCTACCCATTTCCATGCTTAGACATACCAGCGAGGTAACGTCCAGATTTGAATCTGACTTAGCTAAGTGAACCTCTAGTACTTTGCATACATAACTTGTTTAGCCTGTATAATACCGCAGTTGAAACTTTCATAAAAAAGAGGCAGTTATGCTCGAGAGTGCATGTAACCACTGTATAAAACGTATGTTTCTCATGCATTAAGCTCCTGTTTTACTTTCTGTCTTGAATATATACAAAAAACAAAAAAAAACAAAACAAAAAAAACTGTGCTATGTATTTCAATGCCATACCTATGTTATTGTATGTTTCCATACTTGCTTGCACCAGCTATCGTGGCAGTGCAAACGTGATTGTTCACGCTATGCACAAATAAAATAGAGAATTTAAAATCAATAAATAAATCCAATATTAATAAAATAATTATATTGGCAGTGATAAGAGCTACCGATACTTTTTCCTAGAATGTTAATTTTAACGTAAAAACAAACGTGTGTTGGAGAACTGTGTTATATCTGTCTCTTTAATGATACCAATTCTGTTTCACCCTGCAGCAACGCCCTGTGCCCAATGTAAAAAAATTGCAATATGCTGGGTAGCAGCCCTGGACATCATGTTTTATGGACAAGCGATCTCTTTTGTTTAGGAAATTAACTCTAAGTGCCAGGTACTCACAGGGTTAACTCCAGCAATCCTCAGCTAAAAAAAAAATGAAAGAACTATAAAGAAATAGCCTTCATTTGCATCTCGAAGGATTTATAACTATGTCCACTATTAAGTAATGTTTAAGTTGTGTCCCGAGATCTTTACAACAGACAAGCTCCTTTCCCTATAGGCACGTCATCTCAAAACATCCCCAGCCACCACTGTGGCCTGCTACTTACATTGCCAAATTAAACTCTGCAGTGCTCTTCTCAAGTTGCTTCAAAATATACTAAAGTAGTGTACATTTCATAAAGTGTTTCACACGCTAATAAGGCAACCTCGCCTCTGATTTGAACATGCTCATCTCACACAAACTACAAGCATCTACTGTTCAAAGTAGAAGATGAAGAAAAAAAAAAAAAAAGGTACTGAAGTTACCAGATTTGAGAATTTCTCTTCCAACTGCTAACTCTCCAGCTTGTCCTTTGCATAGTTCCAACAATGTTGATACTGAAAGCTGGCTTGTCCGGCTACAAGAGAAGATATCATTTTTAATAGACTTTGCAAGGCTATGTACAATAGATATGAAATTTACAGATTATTAACAATATACCTGTTGGCATCTGCACACTTGACCAGGATGGTTTCCACAACTGAATGAAGAAGTTGTTGCAGCTTTTTCCGTTCAGCTGGTGTGTGGCAAGGAGTATAAACTAGCATGGCTCGTAACGTTTTCTAGAATTACAGACAATGTCACTATATTGTTTGTTAGATTTATGCATTACATATTGCCTCCTACTGATCTGATGATTCTACATCTGACATTTAGGATGACTTATTTTAGGGTATAAAGTTAAGGGGGACCTTACACGCAGCCTTTTAAATGTACAGAAAGGTTGAGTAATGCCATGAAAAGACATTACTCGCCCACAGCACTCCAAAATAAAACGCTCAACTATCTTCAGAGTTACACGTAATTTTAGTTAAAATGACAGAATAAGCTATCAAAAAGTCGAGACCAATGAAATAAAGTAATCTGCAAAAACTACTTACTAAAGCAGCGACATACACTTTGTAGACAGGATCAGCGCACACCATGGACAGTACACTGCAGCAGGCTTCCACAACAACTTCCCCTGAGATACAAGTCTGAGATGAACCACTGGCAGCTTGAGGGGCACTGCCACTGGGGGTACTTCCACTGCCAGAATTTCCAGTGCTTTCACCATTTGCTAACAAAAGGGCTCCGCTGACATCGTGTGAGAGACGTCGCAGGGCCATTTCTCTGATATTCCAGTTCCGAGAAAACAAACAGCCTACTAGTTCCATTCCAAAGACCTAGAAGAAAAAAAAAAATCAAACATTTTAAAAACAAATTTGAAAATATCCCTCATAAAAAATAAACACTGTATATAGTATTTATATTCACAAAAGTGCAAATGAGCAGAAACCTCTCGGGGTAGGGGTATTGTCACATGATTCACACACATACAACATAGGAGGCAAATAACAGCAATAAACACCCTCTCTTGCTACTTTATATCCTCTTTGGGCCGATTCTCTGTCATATTACTTTGTTTTCCTCTTCTTGTACTAAAACGAACCATTCTAGTCATTTACTATGCAACAGGACTGTTATATACAGATCACACATAAAATTGATATTGCAGAAGGTCTTGATGGTAAGGTATGTCTTTTTGCTGATGATACTAAGATATGTAACAGGGTTGATGTTCCAGGAGGGATAAGCCAAATGACAAATGATTTAGGTAAACTAGAAAAATGGTCAGAATTGTGGCAACTGACATTTAATGTGGATAAGTGCAAGATAATGCATCTTGGGCGTAAAAACCCAAGGGCAGAGTACAGAATATTTGATAGAGTCCTAACCTCAACATATGAGGAAAGTGATTTAGGGGTGATTATTTCTGATGACTTAAAGGTAGGCAGACAATGTAATAGAGCAGCAGGAAATGCTAGCAGAAGGCTTGGTTGTATAGGGAGAGGTATTAGCAGTAGAAAGAGGGAAGTGCTCATGCCATTATACAGAACACTGGTGAGACCTCACTTGGAGTATTGTACACAGTACTGGAGACCGTATCTTCAGAAGGATATTGATACCTTAGAGAGGGTTCAGAGAAGGGCTACTAAACTGGTTCATGGATTGCGGGATAAAACTTACCAGGAAAGGTTAAAGGATCTTAACATGTATAGCTTGGAGGAAAGACGAGACAGGGGGGATATGATAGAAACATTTAAATATATAAAGGGAATCAACACAGTAAAGGAGGAGACTATATTTAAAAGAAGAAAAACTACCACAACAAGAGGACATAGTCTTAAATTAGAGGGACAAAGGTTTAAAAATAATATCAGGAAGTATTACTTTACTGAGAGGGTAGTGGATGCATGGAATAGCCTTCCAGCTGAAGTGGTAGAGGTTAACACAGTAAAGGAGTTTAAGCATGCGTGGGATAGGCATAAGGCTATCCTAACTATAAGATAAGACTAGGGACTAATGAAAGTATTTAGAAAATTGGGCAAACTAGATGGGCCGAATGGTTCTTATCTGCCGTCACATTCTATGTTTCTATGTTAATTTTATTTTTTTTTTAGACCTGCACGCATGTTCACACTGCATATTTCAGAGTTTACTGCATTGTAGCTCATATTGTGTAACTGATCTAGCTGTTCTACAGCTTTCACCAACCCAGAAGTAGATGTACATTGCAATCCCAGAGCATTTAGGAGGTTTTGACTATATTTCTAAGGACAGAATTTGAGCTACACACCTGAATCCATGGCTCAGCCATGCTCTTGTAGGCAGTTGGAATGTGCTGAACACCATAATGGGTAAGGTTCAAGTTGGAATCCTGTGACCGTCTTTGGGATCCAGCAGAGGACTGTTGCTGCACAGATGGCTGCTGAACTGCACGAAGAACAGGAGGAGAATCCACTGGCCCAGGTAAATCATGGCTGTGTAATACAGAAACACATAACACTTTAAAATAAAATCATACAACATATAGTAAATGATCCCTTATTTAGCCCTGGAAAAGTAGCTAATAAGCCAAAGCTTTGGCACAAAATGATGAGCAACTGATTAAAAAAAAAAAAAAAAAAAGACAATAAAAGGCTAACACATACTAAAGAAAATCATGATAAAACATCATGGAACCAACCTGTAGAAATCCTGTGACCTCCACTTTGATCGACAAAGTGGACAGATCAGAGGCTCCTTGTTTCTTCTGCACTCCTCTGCCCCTAATAGAGAATTAATTTACATGATTAAATAAACTAATCATGAACATCAGATGGACATTCACAAATGAGTCTACCCTCCTATGGTAAAAAAGTCTGACATTTTCATGTAAAAAAAAAAAACAAAACAAATAACTATAAATAAACACATTCATAAAATATTAGTTTGTGTCCACTCAGTGAGGGTGATTGTGACAACAAGGAAATGCTAATTCTGAAATGCAATACATCTGTATCAAAAAAAAAAAAAAATCTGGACACAATGTTTGTCCCATTAAAAATATTATAGTTACTATTAGATTAGGAAGAATTAATACACTTGTGAAATACTTTAATAGATGAGATTGCAAACTGCATAAATGATCAATGGCAATATCACCCAAAGTTATAAAGAGACACCCCAAAGAATTCTATGAGAAATGCAGTCTTTATTAAATGACAGAGGAAAGGTAGTGAGGTAGATAATGCATGTGGTTGGTGGATTCTAGCTCTTTAAGTACCTTGAGATCAAACATGTTATGTGCTGATGAAGCGGAAGCCAGCGATGAAGAATGTGAGAGTGATTCAGCTCTCACATTCAATGAGAAAAAGCAAATATCCTCACTGTGCGTAAAGGAACAATCAAAATTGCGTTGTTTGTTTTCTTTAAGAGTATGTATACTACATTGAGATATATATAGATAGATATATATATATAGATATTTTTTATTTATTTATTTTTTTTTTTTTTTTAAAGAGTCAAAATATTTTTTTCTCCTAATTATAACAGTGTCTGGAGTGTTCCTTTAAATTTAAAAAGAAACAAAAGACACAAACCTGTAATATACTTCTAAAATGTTCTTACTACAACATACACCAACTGTATGTATACCCACCTACTGGTGGACAATACACATCTAGACTCTTAGGAAATCTTCAGCATTTTGTTCAGATTGATTCAATAAAAATCAATAGAAATGCAGGTTCCCAATATTCTATATTGGTAGCACTTCAAGGCAAACGCAATCCTCTCTACCTTTTAAATTTGCCACAACCACCCACATAAAATATCTTGGGGTCAATATTACCGCCAACTTAAGACCTTTTCTGCCACAACTACTTCCCACTCTTGCATTCATGGATGCAAAATTTGACAAAATGGAAAAAAAAAAAAACTCAGTTCCCCTGGATGGGAAGAGCAAATATCCTCATCTGTTTTATTTACATCAGACCTGGCCTATCAACATACCCCCCTCTTTATTCACATCATTGGGGAGACTATTCATAAATTACATTTGGTTTGGTTGGACACACACACACACGATATTTATCTACACAATAAAAGCGATCTTAAAAAAGGTGTAATGGGGATAAACACTGGAAGTATACGGAGCAGGAATGGTTTACATTACCATTGGCTGTGCTTCCCTGGCATGCATCCAGGACCTATCCCCAGGTATTTCCTACAAATTAATCATCAGATGGTATAAAACGCCAGTAGTACTGGATAGGATTTACTCTCAGGTGCCAAAGTAATGTTGGAGGTGTCAGGTGGAGAGAGGCACATAATCCACCAATGGTGAAAATGTGCTGATCTGCAGAGCTAGTGGAGATCTGCCCTAACACATACTACCACCATAGTAGTATCCCTAGGCCACTAACTTTCCAAGAAATCAATTTCCATCTCTAACCGAAACCGAGGAGTAAGTATATGAACTCCCTTAAATTTCATCTACTAATGCGGTTATGGCACTTATACCCATGTATTGATGAAAGACAATCCATTTACAGAGTGGATACCATGAGTGAAACAAATTAAATCTGTGGAAGAAATTAGGTACTTCCTCTCTCTGACATAGGTACAAAATAACCTCAGATTTCGGACTCCTGGATCACATTTATAACCAAGACGCCCATCCCTTCCTGACACCTGACATATCAGTGGGTTATTCGTGATAGAAACTTAAAAACACCCCTAGGTGTTTAGCCAGCACTATTGTACGCTTGAGGTATTATCAGAGTTAACTGTATGGGACCAACGGTCTTCATTTATATCCAGGATAGACTCCTAGATTTTGTTAATATTTAGTTCTTGTACTCTTTGGATTTTTTAAAAGAAATATTCTTGGCATCAGTGAAGTCTTAGTGCAGCCGGGTCTTAACCTCACAGGTGTACTTGACACTGGCGTTCTACCAGAGTGGGGATACTACCTGGACTTTTCTTTTACTACATGAAATATTATATTACTGTATTTGACAAATTTATTCAGTATGACATTTAGGCAATATACATTTAACTTGATGCATTTTCCCTATTCAACTTGTTCAATTTCATTTCCGTACTTCATAAGGTGCCTTATTGTTTGTATGTATATTTGAATGTATGTATTATTGAGAAACCCAAACATTAACATAAGCAAATTTAAATAAAATGCAGGTGCCCAGTCTCCGGTATAGAATAGATGCCAACAGATAAAACTATACTTAACTGTACTGTAATTCAGCACTTGAATTAACTATGTTTGATAATTATCTTGTATGTATGCATTAAACGACCAATTTACTTGGGGAAAGCCACTATGAACGGTGTAAAAAAGATAAAATAAAAAGAATATGCAGTAAAACCAGCAGTGAAACCACCCTAAGAAGCAAATTGGTGACAGCTAGTAAGGCCTGTGACGTACATATTGACATGCAGTGATGGTGTAGCTTGTTTCTGCAGCCTTCTTCACATACTATCAGGCTCTCCTCATCCAGCATGCCCAGTAAGCAGATAGGGCACATCTGCTCCTCTTCGTCTTTCAGGCTATGAAAATAAGAGAAAGCAGATTACATTTGTTTTTTTACAAACTACTGTGGTAGTAAAAATTAAATGGCTCTGGTAAATGCCTTGAATAGAAACAGAAGTATCACTGGTTGGGATTTTAGATGGGCTATAACAGTTCATTAGTTCATTTTTGTCTAACACCAGATATGAGGTAAAGGATTCAAACCTATTATCTGCTATCACAATTCTTTGTGGTCACTTTGCCCAGCTCGTGGTTTGTATTTTTGCACCTTTGAAATGGTGAAATGCATTTACAGTGGATGTGAAATTGTAATCTGGATTAACAAAAGAACATAACACAAATAGCTGTAAATATAACAACAACAAAAAATAAAAACCCCAACAAAAAACAAACAAACAGTGGAAATTATATTTTCATTAAGTCAGTGGACATATTGGTGAGACCTAACTAGGTAATTTAATGCTGATCCTGCTGATGACTGTTTTTAAACAAATAATTGTAAGTTTAAAAAGGTAATTGACCAAATATACTGTTGCAGAGTGAAAATGAAATCCAGTATAGGTAAATCAGGGCTTAAAAATGTTAAATTCTACGCTACTAGCCAGGTCTTAAAAGTTAATTGCCACTGCAAGCATGTAGGGTCGATGACATTGACCATAGCTAGATTTTGAGCCATGGGTAACATACTACTACATAGAAACATAGTATGTGACGGCAGATAAGAACCATTCGGCCCATCTAGCCAGCCCAATTTTTAAAAATACTTTCATTAGTCATTGACCTTATCTTATAGCTAGGATAGCCTTATGCCTATCCCACGCATGCTTAAACTCCTTTACTGTGTTACTAGTTTATATTAAATTATAGAGGAGTTTCATAAATTTCATTTTTAATTTTATATAACTTCAGTTAAACTATTAAGGTGTAACTAGTAAAAAGGCTGTAAATTCAAAGCAAGCATCCCTCCCATTGAGACCAAGGTGAAATCCAGAAAAGAAAACCAGCAACAAATGGCCATGCTACCAAATGTAAATGAAGCAATGCTCGGGAACGCAGCCTGACATTTAGACTTTATTTTATTGTGGCCATTTCTCGGTTTTAAAATAATATAGCTTCGAAGGATGTGTATCTACAATCAAAGGGTCATTTAAGAGCAGTGTCATTTTTACAGATGGTTAATTTATTGCCACTGCTTGCAAGAAGCAGCTATCAAATATACACATGCTCAATCCAGAATATTACTGGATCAATGCTAGAAATGTCCTAATAAAAATACATTTTCGTCAGGCATTCTGAGACAGACAATATTTAGTCCTTGTAATCCCAATAGTCCGTGATTGGTAGACATCTTTAGGCTGTTACTGATTAAACTCTCCAATTGGTCAGCTAAACAATTCTTTCGCCAAATGACACTTAACGCTTACAAGAAACAATAAAGCAGACGTCCACATCAATATCAGCAATGATTCCTAGGTACAAACCTGGTATCTGAACTAGATGTAGAGGTGGTAGATGATGACAATGTATGGGAATTTGACATGCGTGACACAAACTTCTGGATGGTGTTACGTGATGGAGCTTTGATCCTTGAGCTACGTCTACTGTGATATTTCTGGAACAAACTCTCAACCTAACAGAAGAAAACAGCAGCAATGAAATCTCACACTTTAACAAGAAGGAATGCTCAATGTCAAGCCACCCCAATACAGCCCTGAAGGGTCAATTTATCTTTCAGCACTAGAGACAGGAGTAGAACATATGATAAGATGACAAGTATAGCTGAGCAAATTGACTTAAGAATGATGGCAGATATTCTCAGAAGCAAGCATGGCTGGCTATAGATTATATTCACAAAGAGGCAACCATTTTTTATTAATTTACGACTTCTGAATTAGAGCAGTAACTTTAAAAACATGTCATTTTGGTTTGAGGAACTACAAATAACTGGAGTTCAGAAAAAAAACAAAACAAAGAAAACAAACAAATTGTAGATAGACTATTGGAGTCTTGGAGATATGATACAATATACGTAGAGACAGTCAACATAAAAAACCAAGAGTGGTCCAATGTGATCCACTTGTGAGATTTTGTTGCACAACCAAATAGTTAAATAAAAATTAACTATGGGTTGTGAGTTTTTTTTTTTTTATTCAGCTTCATTTAGTTTACAATATATACCTGGCACAGCAGGATCACACCATGTACATTATTTCAACCACTGCAGTAATATGTGCACAACTCAAGGAATCCACATGTTTACAGGCAAACCTCTGTAGATCATGGAGTAAGGATACCCAGAACATGGAAGTGCATTTTCTCCCCCTCCCCTTACTTCCCTCTACTACACTACTCATCCCAGTAAGTGCCTCAACATTACTGTGGTGAGGGAATAAACAACTAATTCCAGAGACGTTTGTTACAGATGAATAGTCATTTTAACGAAACTGTTGCTTTGCATCTAACGTGTAATACATCTACTTTCTGACACAATATGCACAATACGGTACCTCAAAATTTTTCAGTGTTTTTCTCCACAGCATGGTGTCAGACTGTTCCAGCTGAAACACTCGCAGCATGACAAACAGAAGATGGATACAGAATGAGCCCCTGCCACAGCTGCAAGTCTGCAGAGAAATAAGGAGAAGTTGTACATCACGTGAGATATTATGGACATATAACAATAATACAAACACTATAGGTTGTTCAGCATGCCCCCATAGCCCCAAAAACACAAATGTGCTCAATATCCACTTACTGTTTTGCTCAGTGAAATACTAGCAAATGCAAGCATCCAACAATCCTTTTGGCTTAGGCCAATAATGTTATGCAGTCTCTTGTAAATGAACCAAGTACAATTTTGCATTTTTATTACAAACCAGAGGAGCGCAATAGGGGCAAATTTGACACAGGGAACCCCGAATTAAGTGTTCCAGGCTGTCTTATAGCAGCAGTGATTTTTTTTTTCATGCTCTAAAGCCACTCATAGGGACAAGTGCAAAGTGATTATAGCGCTTTGACTAGTCCTTTAAAGTACTAAGGTTGGCACTGCCCTTTGTACAAATTGAGATAATCCTTAGATCTTACAATATTTACTGTGTATGTAAAGCATTTGAAGTTAGTTAGGAGTGTGCAATTCCTACTGCCTGATGTACAGGACATACTTTCCAGGCTTTTTTCTTAAACACAGAGTGCATGGATGTCACTAGAGTGAGGAAGTGCAACAGTAACCAGGCACTCCTTGCAATAGGAATAGAGCTTAAGTCAAGAGTGAACGTATCTATCATTTCAACTTTTGCTGGCATTGTATAGGTTTGTGATTAGTACAGGACCTACATAAATTAAAATGTAATCTTTAAAAAAAAAAAAAAAAAACACAACCAAGACAAAAAATAAAATAAAATAAATAAACACAATGTTTTACATGCACCAATACCTGAGGTCCAATGAAAACTCTGTATTTGTTATCAGGACTGTCACCGCCAATTAGGAAAGAATTGGGGCCTATTTGCTGCAGCAAATAAAGTCTTGCTCTCATTACTTTGTTGACCCTGCGATTAGTTTCCTCTGGGCTGTACGGAGAAAAACCATCAGGAGAAGGTGCTCTTCGAGGTGGTGTTATACGGCCGCTTTGAAACTGAAAAGGAAGCCAGAAAATTATGTTAGATTCACATATTTTTACAATAACCCTGGACAAAAAAACTGGGCATTCTGGAAATAAATTTAAAATGATCAATTATAATTTGTAGTTTACAGTGAAAGAATAAAACAAAATGTCAATATCCACGATGTATACCAATTATATATGCAACCAGAAACTAGAATTGTTATACAAAGATACTGCCTAGAATGTTTTTAGCATTATCCAAATATTTTGCATGATATACACGATTATTCACTAAAGTGAGAATTTAAGTATATTTCAAGGTCAAATAGCCAAACTGGAAATATTCTCCAAATCATCCTTTCAGCCTGGCTTATCTTAAATTTTAAATGTACTTTTTATATTTGAGCAGCATATGAACTTACAGGGATGGGAGATATTCCTCTCCTCCTCACTCCTGGAGATTCTGGCTTTGAGGATTTGGAAGAGCTGGAAGAACTGCTAGGAGAAGGACTACGTCTCCCTTTCTGAGAGGGAGACGATCCAGTTAATGAACCACCATTAGAATCCAGTTTGGAAGACTCTGAGCCATCTGGCTTCACAGGAATTGGTTTTACTACCTAAATGAAGCAGAAACACAAATAATCAAATTACATAAGGCGAAGGAACATTTAAGGGATTCTAAACATTAGTCCACCAAAACTAAAATAACATGCAAACATAACAGAAGGTGGCAACAACAGGTTTTGTGCCAAATGACATAATTAAATCCCAGACTGCAACCATGCCATCCTCCACCAAACACACTTGCATCCCACATATGTAAGCATGATATCCATACATTGAAGGGGGGGTGGGGGATTACATAATTTTCAGAATTTGTAATAAATCCTGCATGTTTCTATTTGGATCACAATGTGTGTCACATTGTGTAATGTATTTCAGGGTTTAAGTGCAGTAGTAAGGAGGTCAGCAAACAATTTTGCGTTTATTTAACATGGAAAGCTCCATAGCTTCCTCCTGACATTTGAAGCCATTAGTGTGAAAATCTTAGTTTCTTTCAATGAAAGCTATGAGAGAGCCTGTAAAAAGATAGTGAGGACATGTACCGTGTGTTCAAACAGTTGATATGAGTACTCATACGTAATCCTGTAAGAGGATTTACAGGTGCATCAATTTTTGCTTCAGTGATGCATAGCTGCAAGATGCCGCAGTTAAAGGGACACTATAGAGACCCAGACTTTTTTTTTTGTAAATAAAGGTTTTTATTTTGGTTTTCCAAGTAAGAGTTAACGGTGAGACACGCAGGTCTCTTTAGTCATATCTTTATACATCTCATAGTAAAGAAGGCATTGGTACAGATTGTGCACATTGTCAATTTGACGAGATTTAAACTGTCGTGAGACACGCAGGTCTCGTTTGTCACCAAATTTGCGGCACGCAGGCCCATGGTAGGTATCAATCTTACGGGTGAGGTGTGGAGGCATCGGATATTGTGTGTTGTGTCTGTTGGGTTGGTTTCTGCCCGTGTCTTAAGTTAGTTTTTCCGTTCTCAGGTGTTCGGGTGTGTGGTTTTGAACCTGTTGGCATTCAGTGGCGTGCAGTTGCTTTCTTCCCGTATCCCTGTGGGTTGTGGTTCTGAGAGGCTATGTGGATTCGGGTTTGATGGTGCTATCCAGTGTACCTCCTGTCGATGGTATTCTGTTGGGCTTGTGCGTCCGTGTGCATTGTTCTTGTTAGCTTGTGTGTAGTGTTGGGGGGGGGGTGTATGAGGGTTGAGTTGTCTTGGGGGGGTGCCTCTCTGTCTGGGTTATGTCTGTCCAGTTCGTCTTAGTTTATCGGTCTATGCGGCTTCGCCACATCGACGTCTACGTGTCATATTGGAGTCTATTTGTGAATTCTGCCTTGGTAGTCAGTATCCAGTGGGTCCATATTTCCATATACCTGTCTGGGGAGTTGGATGTGTTCATGAGGAGTTCCTCTATGGCTCTGAGTTCTTCCATTTGGGTGAACCAAGTTGTCAACGGTGGCGTTATTTTTTGCTTCCAGAATTGAGGGATCACTTGTTTGGCAAAATGTAAGATACTAATGGTTAGTGGGTGTTTGTATCGGGATCTAGGCGATTTTGTGTGGTGTAGGAGCATGTTTTCAGGGAGAAAGTGAGGTGGTGTGTCGGAGAAGGTTTTGAGGAAGCAGTGTATGCCCCGCCATAGGTGGGGCGCGGTGCCGCCTCCTTATTGCACCTCCAGCAGAGGTCCGTGTGTTCCGGGTCTATGGCATGCAGTATAATTGGGGTGCGGTACCAGTTCGTCAGCAGTTTGAACGCCGTTTCCTGCGTCCTGCTGAAGACTGAGCAGTGGTGCATTAAGTTACATATCTTCTCCCAGTCTCCGTTGGTGAAAGTTTTCCCCAGTGTTTGTTCCCATCTCCCCATAAATTTGGGTTTCTCTGTTGGAGTTTCCCTCTGTAGCATGGAGTCAATGAGTGAGATCCTGTGCGGTTGTGGGTCTGGGTCCATACACATTCTTTCGAATGTGGTGGGGTCCCGTTTCCGTGCTATGCCCCCCCGGGAGAGTATGAACCTAGATCTGTAGCGGTCTGTGTTTTAGGTGGTGTAGGAGGGTGGGGGTGGATCCCTCTGATAGGGTCGGGAGTGTTTTGCAATTAGTTCCGTCCAGGAGGTGGTGTAGACTAGGTGTCTTGTGTCGGAGCAGGTCTCTGAATGCGTTGGGGGTCTAGTCCCGGTGGGAAACTGTCGTGTGTTAGGGGGAGCAGGGGGGATGGGAACGGCGCTAGTCCGCATCTCTTTGCTACTCTCTCCCATGCCCTTAGTGTTGCAGTTGTGTAGGGAGAGCCCTGTCCTCCGATCCTCTGCCATGGTAGAGTGGACAGCGGTTTCCCCGCTTCCTCTATTTCTTTCCATCTCTTGAACACTCATAATTATTTGGAGGTGGCAGGATTCATAGTACAGGGTGAAGTCTGACATGGCCAGTGAACCCTTGTATTTGTTTAGCATCAGTGCAGTCATCTTAACTCTCGGTCTCCAGTGGTCCCATACGCATTTCCCCGTTGCCTGTCTCAGGGTCCGAAAAAATCTGAGGATGATTATGGGTAGGGCTTGCATGAGGTATAGCAGGCTTGGGAGCAGGTTCATTTTTATTACCTGGATCCTGCCTAGCCATGATGTGTGGGTACGCCCAATCCGACAGGTCTTTCCAGAGTGGGGTAATAGCTGTTTGATCCAAGGAGACATCTGACTGCTATTTTGGGGTCAAGAAGGATTTTTTTCCTAGTTTGTGGCAAAATTGGAAGCGCTTCAGACCAGGTTTTTTGCCTTCTTTTGGATCAACAGCAACAACATTTGTGAGGAAGGCTGAACTTGATGGACGCAAGTCTCTTTTCAGCTATGTAACCTATCTAGCAGGGGGATAACATTTTCTCTAAATAGGTCATTTTCCCTCTTCGTCAACCATGGGCCTAGGTACTGTATCTTGTGTTGCGCCCATTGGAATGTGTGGCGCTGCTTCGAGGGGGTGGCTCTGTGTTCGGGTATAACGACGTTCAAGATATAGGATTTTGTGAAGTTGATTTTAAGGTTGGATATCTCCCCGAAGGCCTTCAGGATATTCGGGAGTGAGATCTCCGGGTGGGCGACGAAGAAAAGGAAGTAGTCGGCGTATGCCGCTACCTTGTGTTGCGGGTCTCCCTTTCCAATACCCCTAATAGCTGCGTCGTATGTGTGTCAGAAAGGGCTCGAGTGTCAGCACAAAGAGCAGGGGGGAATAGAGGGCATCCCTGCCTTGTGCAGTTGTTTATGGGGAATTTGTCAGGGCTCCGTTTACGATGACGTGGGCGGTGGGCCCATTGTACAGTGCCTCTACCCATCTCTGGAAGTGCGGTCCCAGCCCGATATGTGTCAGTGTGTGGAACATGTATAGCCAGTCGACTCTGTCGAAGGCCTTCTCTGTGTCCATGGACAGCAGCAGAACGCCTTCGTCCGCACAATCTCGTCTGTGCATGAGAGTCAACGCTCTGATCGTGTTGTCTCTAGCCTCACGTCCCATGACGAAACCCACCTGGTCCGGGTGTATTAGTGTGGGGATGTGAGTTTGGAGGCGTGTAGCCAATATTTTTGACAACAGTTTGACATCGCAGTTGATGAGCGAGATGGGCCTATATTTCCCACATTGTTCCCTGTCCTTTCCCTCCTTCGGGATGAGTGCGATGTGTGCTGTTAGTGCTTGTTTTGGAAGGTGATGTCCTTCCCTCAGTGCGTCTAGGAGAGGGGGATATAAAAGTGTTCCGCGAATGTTTAATACTTTTGTGGTAGCCCGTCCGGGCCTGGGCTTCTACCCTGTTTTGGCACTTTGGTTCGTCTACACTGTCTGCGATTTCCCCTTCTATGGACGGGAGGGGGTAGGCCGTTAGATAAGTTTGTATTCTTTCCCGTAGACCCTCTTTGGCCTTGTCTAGTTGGGGTCGGGGGATAGCATACAGGTTTGAGTAGTAGTCCAGCGTTATGTCTAGGATTTTAGAGGGTAAGTGATTTAGGGTGCCGTGTGTCTCATTTTGTCAATGTATGTCCTTTGTCTTTGTTTGACTATCATTCTGGCCAGCAGTTTACCACTTTTATTGCTGTGGAGCTGGAAAAAAAGCCTTGTGCCTAATTACTTCTCTATGGTGTTTCCTATGTAAAAGGCCCGTCAGCTCCCGTCTTAGATGTAGTAGTGTCGCCTGGTGCGTCGCGTGTTGTGTGCTTTTGTTAAGTGGTTCTACCCTTTGTATTTCCGTCACTAGTTCTGTCAGGCGACTGTTAGTCTGCTTTTTAAGGATGGTGCTCTGACGGATGAAGTGTCCATGAATTACCCTTTTGTGGGCCTCCCATCTAATGGTCGGCGAGGTTTGTTCGGCAGTGTTCGTCTTAAGGTAATCTTTGAGCGCTTCCTTGATATCGGTTGTTAAGTCGGGTCTGGTTAGGAGATATTCATTTAGTCTCCATTTGTTGAACCGGGGTTTGTATAAGGGGGCCGAGAGTGTCAGGAGTACCGGCGCGTGGTCTGACCATGTTGCCACCCCGTGCTCTGCCTCGCATGTTATTGGTAGATGATAGCGTGAGGTAAAGAGGTAGTCTAGTATATGTGTTGTGTGAGTGTGAGATGGTGTAGTCCTTCTCATCCGGGTGGTAGGCCCTCCGAGACCCAGACTTCTTAATCTTATTGAAGTGGTCTGGGTGCAATGTCCCTGTCCCTTTTAACCCTGTAAAACACAAGAGAAACTGCACTACCCTAGTGTGTCTGCCAGACAGCCACTAGAAGTGCTTCATGGAGTTTAACTCTGAACAGACATTGCACGTCCTTACGCTTTGCAGGAGTACGTCAAGGGTCTTCAAATCCCCCACAGGAAAGCATTGTGTGCTGGTGTGACAAAACTGCACTGTGCTAAATAAAATAAAGTATTACTTTATTTACAGATCACAAAATATCCTTGCTCCTCCTAAAGCTGTGTCACTGGCTGATAACTATAAAACTTACTTTTTCAGTTAAATAATGGAAAGTGACAATATCATAAGCCACCACCAGGAGGTGTAAGGTGTACTGAAGACAGCAAACTATGATATGGAAATGGGAATGGTTTCCTAAAACTACCTAGGTTTCGTGCAGTAAATACTTAGACACCTACTTATTTGCCAGTCGAATTACTCCAAAAGAAACAGGACAATAAAAAGAGAAACTCCTGCACAAATCCAGCACTTGACGTGCATTTCTGCTCATATACCCAGTTCGTGAGGAGTGCACTTCTGTCACACAAGCACTTTTCAGACTTCTGAACATGCCTTTCCATACTTGCTGCTGGACACTGTTCTGATGCATGCTTACAGTTCTGCAGCATAATGTATTCAAGAGACGGTAAACACTATGCCGTTTGTATGTTAGGAATTCGAATTTGTGAAAAGTATTTGCAAGAATTTATGTGTATCCATTAAAAGTTTTATTATTTTTGAAAATAAACTTTTTTTTTTTTTTAAACCCCTTTTGTTAATGTTCACCTAATTTCAGCTATGATGTAACCAAATTTAAAAAAAATATTAAAATTTCAAAATGGATTACATGAATGCGTTTTCTACATCTGGGATAAAAAAAAACAAACAAAAAAAACCAAACAGAATTTTCCTCCCCTCAAGTACTTGGTATATGTGAGCATATAGGCACATTTCTGACTGACTGGGTTCATTTGCGGCTACTTTTGGAACACATGGTGATATCCTTTGCCATAAAAGATATACAGACGAGTTGTACAGTATTAGCCTGCATATAACACTGCAACCTGTGCATTATTCAGAATTGTCATTAGAGGGCAATGTAACTCCATAGCACGAGAGCAGGTCCACACTTACCACAGGGCCACGCTTGCTCCTCCTCTCCAGCCATTCATGTTTCCAGGCTGGCATACATGTTGCCTTGAGTTTCTCCCTGATCATGCGCTCCTCTGGGCGGTCATCCATTTTCTGTAACCCCCTGAGTGTTTCTTTATTCTCCATGTCACGGCTACAGGAAAGACATAAAACAGAAAAAAAAAAAAAGCAGCATTAGAAATTTTGCCGGACAGGATTTTGAATGGCATACAATTTTTAGCCCGTCTACAATCCTCATCTGTTCTCACATTACAGTTACTGAGCGAAACATTCCAACTGACTGGAGCATGGCACTTAAACAGAGCTCTGAAAGGATCTGTGTGTGTGTGTTTTAGAGCAGAAATTCTCAGACAAGTGTATGATATAAAAAGCATACATTTTTAAGGACATACAGGAACATAACGATGTATTAGAAATTAACTTTATGCTTGCTAACATAGTATAAAACACTAGAAAACTTAACAGCCACTAAGACACTTTGCCTCCAGAGAAACAAATCCACACATTTAAAGACGGATATATCAATCAACAGCACATGCCCTAAAGCCAACATTCAAATAGAAGCACTAGCATTGCATGGTATTTGTCATACCATACATCATGGAGAATAATGAATGGAATAGGTCATCCTCTGTGCCTTATGGGATCTCTAACAAGACTTATTGGACTGACATGGCTAGATATTTTCACACAAGTACAATAATGGTAAAAAATAAATTAACCATTCAAGTACCAGTAAGGTGAGCAGCATAATAAAATGAAAATTATCAACTTATTCTGACTCCCAACTCCTAACCAATAACAGATGTTAGAGTAATGTGAAATAATTTCTAAGTATGGCTCTTGCACCAACATGACATATAAGGTCCATTTGTCCCATAAATATTAATGATAATAAGGAAGAACTAAATTTTTGACAAGGTAGCCATGTGACCTGTAAAAAAAAAAAAAAAAAAAAAATCTAATGAATTTTCAAACTAGCAGAAAGACTGGATCCTCGAGCTCCAGATAGAAATGTATGTTTCAGGTTACTATTACAAGACATGGGGGAATGAAAAGGGAATATGAAAATATTTTATCCCATGATAAACCCATGTCAGGACATTAGCGACACTAAGGTTTGCTAATCTTTGGTCCTAAAAGGGTTAAATTATATATAGAGAAAGAAAATAGATAAATCACATTTTTTTTTTTTTTTTTTTAAAGCCAAGATTAACACAGTAAGATAGCTAATGGACTACAGACAGCCTCTAGAAAATAACCTCTGTACACACACAAAAAAGATTTTGCAAGAACCACCAAAACAAAAGACCAGATAACATCCAGCATATGCTAGGAAGCCCCAAAGACTAACCCTCCAGCATGAGAGAGGGAGGGATAACAAAAACTCCCTCTTAGAAAATCCCTTTCAATTAACTAGGTCGGGAAACTGGATAAGAGCAAAGCTCTCTGAACTGTTTATGGTGGATCACTGCTGACTGACACAACTGAAGACATTAGTATTGCATGTAAGAAAAGAAAGAACAATGCAAATGTTTGCAAAAACTACATTCTGGCTTTTTACTATAAAAGCAAAGAAATGTAGGGAATGGGGGGTAGTGAGTCCAAATTATATATATATATATATATATATATATATATATATATTATAAACACTACGTCCAATGCAGCATACTTAAGGATCTAACTTGTAATATTTTATTGAACATCGTGCAATCATCAGAGCCAGCTGTTTTAAGCTGATTTTTAAAATTTTAATTTCTGGTGCTTTATTTTTAGGGATATATATGTGTGTGAAGAAAGGGGGTGTGTGAAGAAAGAAAAAGATAAAAAATGTTCCAAAAAGTGGTGCAAAAATGTTAAAGGGGAGCTAGCAACTGATAAAATGTGAATGCTAGTGCCACTGCCCCATTTTTCTTGTACATTAGACCTCTTTTTAGAACAGAACACTTCAGGACAAGCAAGTTTAAGAAACTTATTTTTAATGGGTGAGATTTAGCAAAGCGTGACTGGTAGATTTTTATTTTTGTCAAGAATGCACCTTTAATGAGATCTGTTCTGTTGAAAACACCAAATACAAACAATTTTCATAGGCCCTAAATACAGACATACACAAAAAACAGTAAAGAAATTGAAATGTGAATAGGAATAACTCACATACTTCAGCCATTGTATTTTATTTTAAATCTTCAGTTGGGACCCAGTTCGTATTCTCCCAATTGTGAGAAATAAGCTGGTCTTTTTAGACAAACATTTCCAGTCTGCTTTAAAAGGGCAATGATGTCTATTGCCCTGCAATTGAAGTGGTCATGCAATTTAATTTATCTTTCGATTGTTCTGGTGCTAAAGAAACAGCAGGGACAATCTGTTCTGTGCAGGTACATCCGACATCAAGAGCTGGAGATGTGGACACAGAAAAAAAGAGTCATCGCTAATCAGGAAAATGAAACGGTAAATATAACAGTGGTAGCAAACATTTTCTTTATGTAGTTATAGCTTCATGAACAAAGATTATTTTCAACCCTAATTTGATTGCAATATACAATGCATGTATCCCTCTCAAATGCGATAAATATTTTCAGGTCTTCAAAACACAATTTTATCTATGCCAGTCCATTACGGTGAGCCTTCTCGGGAGACAGGGAGAAAGGAATGAATTTTGTAGTTTCAAGTCTCACTGGGTGATCCTTTCTAAGGATTATGGAGATATATCGCAAACTAAAAACAAATGGTGAATGCAATAGAGGCTCAACCATAAGGGCACTTGGGGCAGCGTTCCATCAGTTTTTATGTGGGGGACATTTTTTTTTTTCTGGAGGGTAGTATTGTAAAGCAACGTCAATATATAGTCCCCCCTCAGCACTGCAACAGTTAAACTTCAAAATATGCATGTCCAAGAATAGTTGTGGCAGGCTATCCCTATTTTAAGGACACCCTCCTCCACCTCCCCACCATGTCAAGATGAAGACACAAGCAAACCCAGAATACAGAGAGTTATGATTTTTAAACTTAACTACAAGTCACAAGGGTGATTTTAAAAATTGTATGTTGCCAAGTATACAATTCTTTTAAAAAATATATAAATTAAAGAAATTGGGATTCTTAATTATTTTAAATTGCTGCCATTATGAAATCAAAGCTCTAATGCATAGTCAAGAAAATGATTATTCACGGTATTTATCCATACGAAATGCTGGAAAAATCACAGCAACTCTTTTCAACAAAATTGTGCCATGTGTCTCCAGGCATGCTGCAAGACTCGCACTGTTTTGAAATGAAGTAGTTAAACATCACAAAAAAGTGAAATAATGTGTGTCTGACTTCCTTTTTCTTTTTTTAAGGGGACTTTGTTTTCTTTCTTGTTCAGACTTCCTGCTCCAAGAAAACACACACACACTGTGACAACAGCTGCGCAGTTCCTGTCAGCTTGGACAAGAACATAACAGAAGGAAGTGGTTCAGAGTCGCAGCCACCAGACAGCATGTTTCTTAAAAGGCCAACTAAACAACAACTCAGTATTTGTGTTATATAGCGAAAGGACCAGTGTCTTCAATCACATGAATCTGATACTGGTCTTTTTAACAGTGTAAATGTTTGTTTAAATGTATCCAGAGCCTTCTACTTAAAATAGATGTAGTGTTGCATAGATATTTTACAGTTAAAGGACCACTCTAGGCACCCAGACCACTTCAGCTTAATGAAGTGGTCTGGGTGCCAGGTCCTTCTATGGTTAACCCATTTTTTTTTTATAAACATAGCAGTTTCAGAGAAACTGCTATGTTTATCAATGGGTTAAGCCTTCCTCCAAATCCTCTAGTGGCTGTCTCATTGACAGCCACTAGAGGCGCTTGCGTGATTCTCTTGCCGCGCGTGCACATTCAGCCGACGGGGCGGATTGGAGGCGGAGAGGAGGCAGAGAGCTCCCCGCCCAGCGCTGGAAAAAGGTAAGTTTTTACCCCTTTCCCCCTTCCAGAGCTGGGCGGGAGGGGGACCCTGAGGGTGGGGGCACCCTCAGGGCACTATAGTGCCAGGAAAACGAGTATGTTTTCCTGGCACTATAGTGGTCCTTTAACCATCTAGAAAAAAAGTTCGGTTTCTCAGGAAGAATGGCTTTAAAGGGTCTCCTGTAACAACAAACCACTACATCTTAAGGTAAAGGTTTTGGTGTAAATAGGCTGTCCCTTTTCACTGTAGATTTAAAAAAACATTGCCATTTCACAGGTATGTTAAGTTTCCAATTTGGGTGAGAACACGCTGTCAGACAGAGGCACCCCTTAACGTTTTCAGCTTTAGAATTATCATGCACACCATGACGACACCGAGTGGAGCCAATGCCTCTCTATTATAAGAAGTGAATTGGATGAATGTGGCAATTGCTATACAGGTGCTGAAAATCTGATGCTGAAAGAATCATATTACTGGACCAGCGATCATACCTAATGATCTCACAATAAATGGAGAGGCAGCAGAACTTTTCCTGGCACTGGATAAAAGATAAAGTAATTTATTTTTTTTAAACTGGTTTGGGTGTTTGCTCAATCTAAAAGTAAGGAACATCTACATTTTAAAGATAACATATTGATATTTAAAGTGAGAGCGTGTCCTTTTATAGGAATGTTGTCAAATGAAAATATCAGTGTTTAGAAGACAATACAATTTTTCCTATATATGGCACGGTGTATATGTAAATTTGTTTTGTATACGGAGCATGTTCTGGCTTCAAATGAAGAAATACATTTTTTTCCCCTTTATAAAGATCTGTACAGTGGAACCATTTCTGGATCTTTCAATGCTGTAAAAGTCGTGTTAAAAAAATAAAAAAATAAATGGTCACCTCTGGCTAGTAATGGACTTGGGCCCTGTTTTTAAAGATTCCAATTTGACCGATTCCATTTGCCAGTAGTAAATTCAAGTTGACCTGAAGGCACTTTTAGATGCAGTGTCCCCCTCCCCCCCCTTCACCTTATGAGAAGACTTGTGCATAACTTAACAGACAGCTGTAATGCCCAAGATAAAAGTAGAGGCATCGGCTAGATACCTGAAACACCAGCAAGACAGGCAAGCAGGATTCCCCGTAGCCCGAGACTGCTTATCAATGCGGAATCAGCCTACTAATGCCCCCGCAGAAGAAGTCTGAGCGGACGACTAACCCCAACACCCTCCCCGAGGATATGACTTGATATGTATAATGCAAATGCTTGGACTCATGTGTACAACACTTAAGTGCTGCTTAGAAATGTCTAGTTTAAACATTGGCCTAATCTGTAGATACACGGCAGAACATAAGACACCTAACGTAACAAGCAGAGCGATCGCACAATCAGCAATGAGTGCAAACACGTGCCAGTATACCAACTTGAACACCACCTAGCCCACCGCGCTAAATGTTGGCACAGTATACATACACCTCACTACTTAACTCAAATGTTCTGGGCATACCAGTTGTCTGCCCTCTGCCGTCACTCCTCTAACCTATTTCTCTATGCATATAGTCTAAGTCATATTACTCACATTATGAGAGTACTCAAAACGTCAGAATAAGCATGATAATTACAAAATGTGCCGGTTTAATGAGTGCCTCAACTAACACTGTATACTAAAATGCTATGAACCGTGATACTGCTGTTGTGGCGTGTCAAGGATGTATGTTTATCTTGTGCACGACAAAAAAAAAAAAAAGTAAACTTCTGATGTATCCACAACTGAAAGATTACAAAGATCAAACTTACATATTTACCATGTAAAGAAAGCAATGAATTACAAAATTACATTACTATTTAAACGTTCCACACTATAAAAAAATAAAAATAAATAAATAAAATAAAAAATACTCTTATTTACTAAAGAGAGAATTTTAATTTAAATTCCACATAGCCTAACTGGAAATATTTAAGTCAGCTATGCTTTCATTTCAGATACTCTGGCCTTAAAGGGACACTATAGTCACCAGAACAACTACAGCTTATTGAATTAGTTCTGGCAAGTAGAATCATTACCTTCAGGCGTTTTGCTGTAAACACTGTCTTTTCAGAGAAAATGCAGTGTTTACTTTACAGCCTGGACACTCCTCAGATGGCTGTTAGAGATCCTTCCTGGGTCATGGCTGCCTAAAATGCATCCAAACATTCAGTATCTCCTCCCTCTGCATGCAAACACTGAACTTTCCTCAGAGATTCATTGATTCAATTCATCTCTATGAGGAGATGCTGATTGGCCAGGGCTGTGTTTGAATTGTGCTGGCTCTGCCCCGATCTGCCTCCTTGTCAGTATCAGCCAATCCTATGTGGAAGCACTGTGATTGGATCAGGCCACCACTTCTGATGTCAGAGTCAAGTTCACAGACAGAGGCAGCAGCTTCAGACTTGAATACAAGTAAGATTTTACTATCTTTAGGGAGGCAAAGGGGGCCCAAGGGGGCTAGATAGTGGTTTTAACACTATCGGGTCCAGAATACATGTTTGTGTTTCTGATCCTATAGTGCTCCTTTAAAGGACCACTAGGCACCCAGACCACTCAATGAAGTGGTCTGGGTGCCAGGCCCCCCTGCTGCTGAAAACAGTTTCAGAGAAACTGGTATGTTTACCTAGAGGGTCTACTAGAGGGTCTACTAGAGGGTCTACTAGAGGGTCTACTAGAGGGTCTACTAGAGGCCGATTCCACTATTTTCAGTGAGTAAGTCGCACTGAAATGACGCTGGACGTCCTCACGGAGTCAAGCGTCGAATAAGATCCCCATTGAGTAATGCTTTCCTATGGGCGGGATTGAATGTGCCACCATGCGCCTCTGGCTGCGCATGTGCATTTGGTTCCATTCGAGGGAGGACGTCGGTAGGGGGACGAGAGGTCAACAGTGCCGAAGGAGCCCGGGGCTGGATTAAGGTAAGTGGCTGATGGGGTTTTAACCCCTTCAGCACAGCTGAGGCGGGCCCAGAGGGAGGCGGGGACCTATTAACCCTATACAGCCAGGAAAACTGGTTTGTTTTCCTGGCACTATAGGAACCCTTTAAATTTGAAATTCACTTTGAATTATCAATTTAGTGAATAAACACAGAACAACCTAAACAATTGCTCTTAGTGTCAAATCATGATCTTAAAAGTATGCATCACAAGTGGCTAGGTACTAGGTATAATGACTAAGTAGGAGGATTAGGAAATTAAAAGTACCTTATGAGAACAGGCACAGTTCACAGCAATTATGCCAAGAAAGATTTATGAACCTAAAACACATTACAACATCATGGAGACAGTAACAGACAAGATGCTACAAGTATATTTAAAAAATAAAAAAATATGACCATTGGAAGTCTTAATATTTGATTGGCAATAGTGCCAAGAAATGGTGAATTGGGTGAGGCAAATATTGTAAAAGGTATTTGTGCAGCCATTGATAGTAGTTATATATAATAATGCTAAATAGCAAGTTAGCGTTTTGCAGGACAGTAAAATATGGCAGATTTATCAGATCTAAGCATTTAAAAAAAAAAAAAACACAAATAGAGCTAGCATGCACATGGGCTTTAAACAAGGGGTCTCTTTAAGGAGGTAAGTACTGAAAATATCTGTCATACCAATAGCCATATGTATCACATGCCTTCCCATTCTTATACATTAAACATTAGTTCGCTAAAATGCTCAAGCAGGCTAGAGAAATATTCTAAAGCAGCTATTTTTGCCAAAATTATGTGTGAGCACATACACATAAACAACCCTTGAACTTGAAAACAACACTATAGCTTTCCAAATACAATATTTATTCCTCATGCTATAGTGCCTGTTTTTAAGATTTACGTGACCAGGCCAACCCTGCAAGGATTAAAACACACACACACAAAAAAAAAAAAAAAAACCTCACTTATCTTTTAACCATAGCCACTCCAGTCTCCTTCATGAAGCTTTGCCTCTTTGACTGAGAACATCGCGCTCGATGACCTCAGGCAATCAAGTGCTTTCCATAGTAAAGCATTGGTGGAGTAGTGCGCATGCCCAGCAAAATGCTGCACTGTGCAAATCAGATGGTCTCTGACACCATCTGATTAAAACAGAGGTTTGCTCAGCCATTTCACAAAAGGGCCTCTAGTCGCAGTTATACTGACAAACACTAAAGGCAGGTCAATTCTGCAATGCAAACGGAGCGGATGGGCTCAGTCCAATAAGAATCTGACCTGGATTTCAGATGTACACAGGTGAGCACCACACCCATCCACTATGGGTGCCCCTTTGAAGGTAACCACAGGAAAGCATAAATTGAGAGGCATATGGAATTTCAACTGACCAAGGCTACTATTCTAATTGCCAATAGTGAATGGAAATTGAGCCCTGCAATAAAATTATTGGCAAATTAAACTGGGAAACTAAATCTTTCAAATTTTGTACATTAGTTCACATTTGTATTGCACAAATGACAAATACAAAAACACAAAACACTAAAATAAAAAGCTGTAGCACACTTGTTGCCAAAAAATCCTAAAAAAATAAAATATCAAAGTCTACAAAGATCAAGCTTCACAAAGAGAAGGAAAGCAGGAACTATCTTCTCCACTCATGTGACAGCAAGTCCAATTTACTTTCACACTGCACAAAGGCCTTTTGTTTTCCTAATGCAGGTGGGAACGGTGCAGGCTTTTCAATAATCTAAGAAACTTGAACAGCTTTCGTAAAAAGAAAAGGTTGTGTTTAAGGGAAAACATGTCACGTGGATGTATTTTATCATAATCAACCAAGGCCGAACACAGATCGTTTCTGTTAATTTAACAATGCTCTATGTCTTCCAGAAACTCTGGAACTAAAAGATATTAAGAGCAGCAAACACTACTGGTTCTCACATAGGTTTAAACAGAGTGAAAAACCGTGTTCATGTTTTAAGCTGCAGGTATCTGGTTACATAGGTGTTCAAAGATGTGGCTTCTTGCACAGAGATTCTGCACCGCTGATTACCCAGAGGACACCCTCACTGGACATGAAATGTTAACTTACAAAGGATACCGTCTTACTTGACAAAATAGGGAGTGCAACAACCGCTCATTTTACGCAGCACAAAAAATAAAATAAAAAAAATAACCCAAACACTTAAATCATTGACCTTCTGCTCAAATAATTGGGAAGTTAAACTTTTGCATTATCTGGCCAGCACTGGATGATAACAGTACTCTGAAAACATTCAGCTAAGCTGCCTAGCATTTTCCTAGTAAATGCGGGGGGGCGGGGGATGTGAAACTCGAACATGACTTGTTTAGAAATTCCACTGTCCAAGCAAACACTGGGGGGAAAAAATTTAATGACTGGTTAGTAGATAAAACCCCAATGACAACATGCATGCATTTAATATGCATTTTTTATTAAAGGTATAGCTCAACATCTTTAGATCTCATCACAATCTTTAGATCTCTCGTTTGCTGGCTTTGTAAACCCTCCCTTTCCCCGCCTCCCACTATAGCATTAGGAATACAAACATATGTATTCTTAACACTATAGAGCCCTAGTCACCGTTTTAGGAGACTAGGGCCCTGTTCCATGGAACAGGGCCCTAGTCTCCTAAATGGTTAACCATTAATTTGCTTGCCTTAATCCAGCGCCGGGCTCCCTCGGCACTGGTGACCTCTCCTCCTCCATTGACGTCAGCTTCCGAGTAGAGCTGAATGCGCATACGCGGCCAGAGGCGCGGGCACATTCAAATCCACCCATAGGAAAGCATTACTCACTCAATGCTTTCTTATGGGGATCTTTGATACTGGACTCCGTGAGGACGTCCAGCGTCAAATATGTGCGATTTACTCCGTGTAAATCACGGAAGCAGCCTCTAGTGGCTGTCTAGTGGCAGCCACTAGAGGCTGGAATAACTCTGCAATGTAAATATAGCAATTTCTCTGAACCTATGTTTTCAGCTGCAGGGTTAAAACGAGGGGGATCTGGCACCCAGAAAACTTCATAGAGCTGAAGTGGTCTGGGTGCCTATAGTGGTCCTTTAAATACAGATCGGATTATTTGAAGAATTATTGTTACAGAGTTGAGGATTGAAATATACTAAACCTGGTAATTTATGGTCACATTGAAGTGGGAGAATACACTATTGCAGGTCAATAACTCCTATCTTAACGTGTTTATTTTTTTTATTTAAAAAAATAAATCATACAATCTAGAATTGTGTGAGCATAAGAGGCATAGTAGCAATTTCCATAATTGAACCCCTTCACTGCAGCAAATATCGTATATGTGATCAACAACTATGAAGCTGCAGTACATAAAGAGAGCTTTTTAGTGATAACCTGGTTTTAAAAGGGGGCTGACTTGGTGTAACTTTATACCTGGTTAGGGAGGAAGTTTAGTAATATAGAAGAATTTAACAGAAGATGTCAATATTTTAAAATGTTGCCAACAACGTATGAATACATTCCTGCCTCTGCAAGAGAGGCAAGTCATTATAACACATTGCTGCGCCAACAGAGTAAACTAGCTCACAGTTGCAGGTATATGCATCAATGCTGACCAGGTTGTCGATGACTCCAGGTTATGTGCAGACAGATAGTCTTCTCTCAGTCAGCATGTCAGTTTCTTACATTGCTACTTGAGTACGAAACCTTAGAGGATCACTATATAGTGTCAGGAAAACGAAGCGGTTTTCCTGACACTATAGTGCCCTGAGGGTGGCCCCACCCTCAGGGTCCCCCTCCCGTGGCGCTAAAGGGGTTAAAGCCCCTTCAGCATCTTACCTTTTTCCAGCGCCGGGCTCCCTTGGCACTGGTGAACTCTCCTCCCCCGCCGTCAGCTGAGCCGAATGCGCGGCAAGTGCATTAAATGCCCCCAGCGTCGCAGATGCGCCTCTAGTGGCTGTCAGGAAGTGGTCTGGGCTGAAGTGGTCTGGGTGACTATAGTGTCCCTTTAATCTGTTGTAACATAAGAGGTGGCTAGGGCCTCATTGCTTACACGAGTCGCTATAGACAGTGTAGGGACTGCATTAGCCTTCATTCACACATCAGCATAATGCAAGTTGCTAGGGAAACTGGGATGAATCTTAAATATGTTATTTCCCAAAAATCTAGTTATTTTTTGATCTGTTCTTCGAAAAGAAGCAATATATTTATTGTCATGTAAAGGCAATTCAATATCATAACTAAACTGTTAGGCTTGTATATGTTAATGTGTGCTAACAATGATTTATGCCAAATCCTAGCCTGTTGCCACCTTAAGAGAAGAGAGTTCGTTCATTCACTATGCAAAACACTGCAGCGAATAAATAGTGCAATAATAAAAAAAATTTAATTTGTACTTTTGTTTTTGATTATTCTAAGAGCTATACTGATAAAATAAATGAACAAATAATCTGAAGTTAAATCATAAAAAGAACAATGGACAATTGTTAACACTGCTACTTGGCCTTAAATTCTGTAATGGCTTTGTATATTGCTTTTATTATTAAATCACTGGACAAAGATAATTAAATAGACCAATGTGGTTTTATCTTTTTAAAACATCCACATACCGTATACACATTTTTTGTGCTGAAAAGTCCCCCTCGGCTTATACTCGAGTCAGTGTCTGTATTATGGCAACTTACATTGCCATAATACAGACCAGGACCGCCGGGCTCATTACAAGCCCGGCGGTCCTGTTGGGGGCCGGAGCAAGCTGTTACTTACATGTGCAGCCGCTCCGTTCAGCTTCCTTCTCCTCCGTTCCGGTCAACTCACTGTGTAAATCTCACGAGACCCGCGGCCATCAGAGCATTGCCATGGGTTACCGTGGCAACACTCCGCGTGGCACGCAGACCGCAAGATTTACACTGTGAGCTGCCCTCCCCCACTACACACACACAGTGTTAAATACACACACTACACACTGTTAAATACACACACTGTAAATATTCAATTAATGTAATTTTACTGGGATCTAATTTTATTTAGAAATTTACTAGTTGCTGCTGCATTTCCCACTCTAGTCAATAAGTTTTCCCAGTTTTGGGGGGTAAAATTAGGGGCCTCTGCTTATATTCAGGTCGACTTATACTCGAGTATATACGGTACCTCAATGTCAATTTGTTTTTTCCCCTCGAGTGGAGTGTATTTGTGTACATGCATGCACTCACACACTATACTGGGGTATTGGGGGTGGGGGAGAGTGTATTGACTGCATTGTGCATTTGAAAACCAAAATGTTCCATGAATGGTCCCTTAAGAGAGTTCCTTAGTATGCAGTTACCAGCATAGCACAGTGGCATGTGCAGTAAAGTGCTGCCGTCCTTAAACTATTATTTTGCAGATTATATGGTCATGTTTATGCTATACTACTTCAAGTGGTTTCAAGTGAAAAAATTTTTTTTTCAAGAATTTTGAGATTCTTGCCCATTATAAAGATGCAAATACCAAATAGTACTGCAGACAAAGAACAGCCTTGTGGCATGTGCAGAGGAATATGCAGCTGTACCAACTCTGACCTGCCTTTAAGATCCCGTTCACTATAGTAATGTAGCGGCTCTATTAAAGAGACAACAATATAATACATCTTGAAAACACTGAAGATCATTTTACCCTATATCACATCAACTCTGTCACGAACCTACAAGTAGGCTAGGAGCTGAAATAACACGGCTACCACTCAATGAGACACAATGAGTAGTGCATCAGTGAATTGTCATCATTGACCCCTTGCATTTATGCTTTAGGGACACATTTTTGTAACTGATCATTCAAACAAGATAAACTAAATCGACCGGTCACTGGCTGCCCACTGAAAATAAGAACACACACACTATTAGATTTGTACATTTGGTTTTGGCAGAATTGCAATTTGCAAATCTGAATTTAGGATGATCGGCATTTTAACTGAATTCCGTATCTCCAAATTTCTTTCCAGTCCTTCAATTTACCCTATCACACTGATTTAGAATGTCTTTAACCCTTAACGCGCATCAGTTTGTTAAACACAAGACCAGGATGTAATGGGATTGACAAACTGTAAAAGTTTGCCATAGGAAAAAAAAAAAAAAAAATTAGGAATATATATATATATATATATATCTGTGAAGCCCAATTGATCTATTTTCAGAGATCCTTGAAAATCTATAAAACTGTACAACTAACAATTTTGATAATTAACATGATAAAATATAGACATTTATAGAAAGAAGTATTGTAGCAAATGCTGACCTTCAGAATAACAATGGCTCATAAAACATACAGAGAGACAGCCGGTAACCCAATGACAATATTGCCTTTAACTCAGATAGGAAGAGAGACAAAACCACTGAAAGTGCTGGTCAGATTCCGAATAAACCATTTTATGTCAAACAGAACACACAGACAGACATCTGGCAACATAGCAGTTAAACAAAGTGAACTGCTTAAATAACCAAAATGTAAAAACAAAAAAACAAAAAAAAACCTGTTTGAAGTTTTCTAATCTGAACACCACAAGCATAATTGCAGGTAGTCAGAGGACTAACTTTGATCCTTTATTTGGCCCTTAACTCATGGACTGTTTTTTTTCCAGCCAGATCCCACAAGTCCTGTAACTGTTGTGCTTTGTGCTTTTTCCACCCCCTGACCTGTCTTTCATCCTTCAAGTTTAAAACACACCACTAATGGTCAGTTTCCTTTTAATTTCTGCAGGCCTTTTCAGAGATTTTAATTTGTGACCTTTGCACCTGGAGACTGTTACAAAAGAGCTTTTACCTTGTGAACATGGATACACCCCCCCTCCCCCCCCTCAAATAAATAAATAAAAATAAAACAAATTTAAAATTACAGCAGGGAAAAAGCAGCTTTTAAAAACGTAATCCTGCCCAAATTACTGAACTTTCAGGTAAAAGATGGTAAGGACAAGCAAACAGAGTTCAGGGAAGGGACACACTAACAAACAGCAGAGAAGAAAAGAGGGAACGAGAAAATAAAAAAAAAGAAAAAAAAAAAGGGGAATAGGTCATAAAACATCTAAATAAAGGGATTTATTGAATCCATTATAAAATAGGCACAGAAGCTTTTTTTTTTTTTTTTTAAATACGGCAGGAACAGCCTTTACATTACATAGAATTTTTAATCGAACATGCCATGGATGTATTTGTTAATTTAGATTAGATTTTTTTATGTGGAATCTGAGATTTACAGAAAGTGGTTTTTTTTTGTTTTGTTTTTTTTGTTTTTTTTTGTTGTTACAGAGAAAATGGTAAATGGCAGGACTTTTCACAAATGAACATTTTGGAAAACTAATGCATTGTTTGCCACATTGTAAATAATCTAGTTTAGGAGAGAGTCATTGTAGTTCTTCACTTCCAATATCGGAATGTTAGATGGGCTTTTAATAGGTCTATACTTTTTTCTTCTAAAAGAGGAAGAAATGGAACAACAAGGATTTTACCAGGCACTTGTTTAATAGCTGCAAATACATACTGGAAACAAATCCTGCTTTTGTAAAACAATGCACAATTCCAAAAGATTAGAGATAGAGATATATATATATATATATATATTTTTTTTTTTTTAATAAGTCTTAGGCCTAATATATCCCTGTTACAAACACTGGTATTTATAGATACGCGTTCGCGTATTTTCTCCTGAACTGTTGAAGCCCAAGTGATTATTGCTCGCAGTTCGGGTGTAGATTAGAATGGTTCCAGGCGAATGCAGCACCCAGCAAGTAAACAGTTACCCAAACATCAGCCTAGACTAGATGAAGGGTACAACACGAATGAAGTTTAATGGTGACACACTGGCTTTTATGCAAGCCCCCTTGCAAAAGGCACTCCCACATGGACCTTGTTGGGGACTGCAACACAAAAGTTAACAACCAATAATAACACGGTTACAAAGTATGACACTCCCCTACACATCATACAACCCCTCTTCTCTGCCTGGGAGATAATGGAGTCAGATACGGTAATAACTCAATTATCTCAAGGCAGAAAAGACTAATTTTTCATTAAAAAAAAAAACTTAAAAAGTACCCCAAAACAAATCCCCCATAAATGTTATATCCCTTCATAGCCCTGATCTGGGTGACCAACATATCAAAAAAAATCACCCAGATCAGTTCAGCGGTTTTGGAATTTTATTGAGGTCTTAATTTGACCGACCGCACACAAGGCTCCTGCCCAGAAATAGTTCCATGAGTTATGGTTGTGTGCTCTGTCTATTTTGGAAAGTCTTGAAACCGAACAAATGCTCGAACAGTACCCCCTGGCACATAGCAGCTTTGTTCCCCTAGTTCGTGGGAACAAAACTACCGAACAGCGCTCTCCAGGCTGTTCTCGAAAAGGAAGCAGGCGTTCGTATAGTCTGACCGGTGTTCGGGAAGTCGAGTGTCCGATTTTAGGTCAAACACTCAACGACCAGGTTCCGCTGCCTCCTTTCGTGCGAACAAGATGGCAGCCGTTTTCTCTGGCACGTGGTGTTCGACTATACAAATGGCGACCTCACAGTGAGAGCACTTAATTCACTGTTCTCTTTGAAGTTAATGAGCCAGGAGGGTGGTCCGTGTTCAGTAGTTTGAACTACCGAACCAATAAAAAGTAAAAGTCCCAAATACAGAGGGAAGTTTAATCACAATGCCATTTGGGATAAAGTGTGCAACAGAATACATACTTGGGAGACTGCTGGATGGTGCTGTAAAAAGATATAAAGCCTTACACTGAGCATCTTATATTACAGTATTGATATAGCACCATCAAATTCCGTAGCACTGTACTATGGGGCTCAAACCAAAAATGGCCAAATCTGACAGCACACAAAAAAAACCCATTACAAAATAGCATGCAATCCAATGGACTTGATTGTGTAAATTGTAAACAAATACAGAATTCCTTGTCCAAATCCAATTCCTTTTCATTCACACAAAAACAAATTAATCTGGCTTGAGATTTACCGGTGTTGTCTTATTCATTGAGAAAGACATCACAGGTAAATCCTGGAAGGATCAATTTGATTGTGGTTTCAAAAGGAATCTGATTCGGACAAAACAGCACAAATTCATTTTTGAACAAATTAAATATTGTACCTTAACCAAAACAAAACAATTTTGTAACAATAGAACTGAATACTAAAAAGTTCTACCAACATTTATAGGAGTGTATGGCCAACGATGCACTGTGTTTTAGATCCCCGTGTTTCTACCTATGATACGCATACTCTTGGAGGTGCATCTACACAGATAAGGGGTACACATTGCAGCCAATCACAAGCGATAAAAAGTGCTCTTTTCTATGTTGCTATGAACAGCTAGCTGCAAAGTAACAGACTGTCCATGTCCTCTGGCTTCCTTGTGTTATGGATCCAAACTGACAGCGCAGGGTGGATTTGACATGACCTCCTCCCATGGCAGTCTGAATTAAAGAATGGGAGTGCAGTGAGTAAGGGATCCCTAAAAGAGTGTGCTCACTGACCGTGCCTACATTCCTATTGCAAGGACTATTGCAGGTACTATACAATAACCATTCTAGACCTGGTACTTTTTAGCACGACTATCCTTTCTCTCCATCACTCCTGTATCCACAATGTCTCTAAAGATCTCTATACTCACACTGTCTTTAATAGCTTGCAATGGCATACACACTGGCTCTAGCATCTCTCCACTCACACACTAGTCACCTCTGCACTCCCAAAGGGGAATAGGGAAGAAAAAAAAACAAACAAAAAAAAACAAAAAAACGCAGTATGCTAAAATTCCAACCCATTTCTCAATTTCAAAACCGTAACAGAAGTAATAGAAATAGACTTATGTTAAATATAAATTTGGATTACCTTTTTCAGGAAATACTTTTTTGAGATGGGGTACTAGTTTGATTTTTCCAGTACTTCTACTGAAGCAATAAGCACTATTCTATGCCACATTTTATATTCCAGGACAGCTAACGGGCAAGAATTCTGGGAAAATAGTCCACAGCAGTTATGGTGCCAAAAGTTACTCATAAAAAGAATGGGTTTGGGGTGCTAATAAACAGTATCAAGTCACTGCAATCAAGGAACATGACTGCCATATCAAATCTTTGTTAAAGTAAGCGACAAATTGCAATACAGCTGCAACAGAACTTAGCAAAAACACGAGTTCTAGTAAACCATTCAATCTTTGGAGTCAGGAAATGCAATGTACATGTTTAGATTCACAAAGCAAACTAGCCACATATATACGCAACAAAGATTTTTTCAGGGATATAATTTCAGGATGTGGTTAAGAAGTCAAACTTGCTTCAGTACCCAAGCGTGATCTGCTTTTGTTCTCATTTTTGCTGACGAGGCACTGAAGGGAGGGGGCTGGGGAGAGGATCTCTGGTTAAGTTCTCCATCACAATTAAAGAAGCTTTTTTTTTTTTTTAAATGCATATATTTCCATATGGATTCATTTTTATCCTTTATAGTCCAGATTAGTTTTTTGTTTTTTTGGAGTAAAATGTAATAAGATACTATTACCAAAAAAGCAAATCATAATCTGTACCAGCAAAACACAAGCTGGAAAGTGATCACAGTCCTTATACTTTCTAAGTGTATCACAGTTAATTCTAAATGGGTAATGATACTTTAGTGCATTTGTCACATGAATCCAAGAGGGATACAGAATTATATGAAATAAATATGTCAGAGCCCAAGAAATGTAACAATTCTTTAAATAAGGGGTATCAAACTGCACCCTTCAGATGTGGTTGGCCTACAACTCTCAGTGCTCTCTATGCCTGAAGCTTTTAGAGCAGGTGTCTCAAATTACAGCCCGCTGGAAATATTTGGCCCTCTAAATTAAATTTGTGGCCTGCAGCAATTCTTCCCAACTTGAGCAGATGTGAAATAGAAATGCATGGTCCAGGTCGGAGGCACACCACCACTGTGTTTCAGGTGGCCTAGTACACATCAGGGACGGCCTGATGGCCTAGTACACATCAGGCCCTTTATTATGTCTGAAGAGGCTGGATGGTTGGGGGCAGTGTATGATCACTCTGTTCAAGACCAAGTCTCATTACTAAAGCACCAGCATTCTACACCAGACTCCATCAAGAGTTTGGCCATGCTGTTTGCTGGGATGGAGTGTGTGTCCCAAGGACAAGTTGACTTAAACATTTCTGTATCAGAACATTATTCAACATAAAAAAAAATAAAATAAAAAAAACAACAACACAGTATGGCTATTGCAATTTGAAAGTGATGACCATGCGACTGCCTGAATCATTTAAAGAACAAGCAAGCAGTCTCTTCACCATGCAGGAAGCATGAAGCATATAATGTACACTAGCTGCTAGCTTGGCCACATTCTTGCATCCCAAAGCAAAAAAGTCCTTTGACTTTGTACAACTGTGGTTTATTATATTGAAGAAAATAATTAGGATTTCCTGGAATAAACAAAAGGGCTTTTTCCCCCCTACTATATAAAACCAACCACTACATGTTATTTAAAGAAATCCCAGATCTGCAATATCCAACATAATCAAGCTGCTTTGTTTTCTGGATCTGTGCTTAAGCAACATTTCATGGCTAACCAGGGCACCAAAGCTTAAAGGACCACTATAGGCACCCAGACCACTTCAGCTCAATGAAGTGGTCTGGGTGCCAGGTTAACCCTGCCAGCTGTAAACATAGCAGTTACAGAGAAACTGCTATGTTTACATTAGGGTTAATCCAGCCTCTACTGGCTGTCTCATTGACAGCCGCTAGAGGCGCATTTGCGCTTCTCACTGTGATTTTCACAGTGAGAAGACGCTAGTGTCCATAGGAAAGCATTGAGAATGATTTCCTATGGACTGACTGAATGCACGCTGGGCTCTTGCCGCGCATGCGCATTCAGCCGATGACATCCGGAGTTTTTTTCCTGGCACTATAGTGGTCCTTTAAAGACCAAGAGATAATTAGGAATTTCATTTAAAAAAAAAAAATTAAAATATGATCAATACAACTCTTAGTGAGACTCACTGTTATATGCAAACAAAAGATATGTCCTTAACTAGGTCCCCCGTAGAGTCTTACATAAGAATGAAACCACTTATGCAGCATTAGGGTTCAAAATGTTTGCGTCTTTCAAAAAGACTAAAATATATATTTACGGTCAGAAATGTTCACATGTGACTGACACATGGTCCAAAGCTCCCTTCTACTCATGCTAGGGATGAACATGAAAGGCACATGATTCTTGCAATCACATGAGATTCAAGACAAATTACAAAAGTAAACAAAAAAGAGGTTTCAAAAGTGGTTACTAAAATCAACCACCACAATGAAACAAATCTAGTTTTAACCCCTTCAGTACAGAGGACCATCCTCGGCATTTTTGCATTGCCGACTAGTACTGAACCGTCCTAATGGTGCAATGTACTTACCCGATCGTCGTCGTTCCCCAGGCGGCGATTGGCGTTGCTCCTGGTGTGGGGAGACTGCCTGCAGCCTAGTCAGTCTCCCCATGGCGGATTAGGACCCCTGTGATCGATTAAGAGAGGGGGGGGAGGAGAGAGAGGGGGAGAGAGAGAGAGAGAGAGAGGGAGAGAGAGAGAGAGAGGGGGGAGAGAGAGAGAGAGAGGAAGAGAGAGAGGGGGAGAGAGAGAGGGGGGAGAGAGAGAGAGAGAGAGAGGGAGGGGTGCTGCAGAGAGCCCCAGATGGATTTTTTTCCCCTCTAGTAAGTGGGTTAATCTCATAAGAGCAGACATTAGGCTGTTAGTGCAGGACCTGCCAAAGATGGGGTACATTGACCTTGTGGCAGGCTTATGCAATGTATGATCATATAATGTAACTAAACCCCCATTATTTTTACATAATTAAGTAATTTTATTGATTGCAATTTGAGGGACCTGCCTGCCAACCCAGGCCGAAAGTCCAGAGAATGTAATTTGTGACACCCTAAAACCTGTACATGGTGGTTACTGTTCTACTAAGGAGACTTCGCTGAACACAAATATTAGTGATTCAAAACAGTAAAACATATCACAGCGATGATAGTCAGTGAAAGTGACTTTTTTTGCATTTCTCACACACAAACAGCACTTTTACTGATGATATAATTGTTGTGATGCATTTTCCTGTTTTGTAACACTAATATGTGTTCAGCAAAGTCTCCTGAGTACCCCCCATGTACAGGTTTTATATCGTTTTTGAAAGTTACAGGGTCAAATATTTTTACATTGAAAAAGGCCAGGTTGGTTACGTTGCCTTTGAGAGTGTATGGTAGCCCAGGAATGAGAATTACCACCATGATGGCATACCATTTGCAAAAGAAGACAACCCAAGGTATTGCAAACGTGGTATGTCCAGTCTTTTTTAGTAACCACTTAGTCACAAACACTGGCCAAAATTAGCATTCAATTTAGTTTACTTTTTTCTCTACACACAAACAAATATGAACGCTAACTTTGGCCAGTGTTTTCGACTAAGTGGCTACTAAAAAAAGACTAGACATACCCCATATTGAATACCCCGGGTTGTCTACTAAAAAAAATAAAAATAAAAAAAAATATGTACATGTGAAGTGTTATTCAGAGATTTATGACAGATAGTGTTACAATGTCACTATTGATACATTTTAAAAATTAATGTTTTGAAACCTAATATCCTACTTGTACCTATAGCCCTATAACTTGCAAAAAAATAAATAAAAGCAAAAAAGCATGTAAACACTGGGTATTTTTAAACTCCGGACAAAATTTTGAATCTATTTAGCAGGTTTTTTTCCCCACTCGCTTTTGTAGATGAGTAAAAAGATTTTTCAAGAAAAAAAAAAAAAAAGTATATTGTGTGTTCAATGTAAAAGAAAGGTTTAAAGGACCACTATAGGCACCCAGACCACTTCAGCTTAATTAAGTGGTCTGGGTGCCAGGTCCAGCTAGGTTTTTGCTGTAAACATAGTTTCAGAGAAACTGCTGTGTTTACATTAGGGTTAATCCAGACTCTAGTGGCCGTCTCATTGACAGCCGCTAGAGGTGCTTCTCACTGTGATTTTCAGTGAGAAGACGCCAGCGTCCATAGAAAAGCATTGAGAATGCTTTCCTATGGACGGGCTGAATGTGCGCGGCTTTTGCCGTGCATGCGCATTCAGCCTGGGACATCAGAAGAGGGAGGAGAGTCCGAGTATGTTTTCCTGGCACTATAGTGGTCCTTTAATCACTTTTCCTCCATTCCAGTGCAGATTTGTGGGTGTTCCTCTTTGTGCAACATCCATCTCCAGACCACCCACCGCTTCTCCTCTGTTCTTCTTTCATTTGCCCTGCTTGGTAAGCATTGGTGCCAGAGTGCTGGAACAGAGTGATGTCACGCCACTCTGATACTCCTGGCTGGTGCTAGAAGTGTGCTCTGTGGTTTCTTTTGGGAGGAGAGATGAGAGACCTTCTGTGGGAGGTCTTTTCTGCTCTCTCAGTCAATGTCATGGCATTAACTGACAGCTGGGAGAAAAATCTATGTTTAGGTTTGTGAAAGAATTTACTTTGATTCCAAGGTTCAAGCTTATAGGGGTCATATTAGATATCCTATATTAAAATTGGATAACTTGGACTCAGGAAATGCTTAATACGACACTTAAGACCATATATGTCTAGTTCCTGGAGCAGATAGTCCCCACCTGAGCGGTCTCTACTAAATCAGTCTGTTCTTTCTCTGAACTTATCTGTTATATGTACATGACGTTCATCCCTATGTCTTATCTGTACTCCTTTCACTCCTTTCCTACTACTGTCCTATGAGTATTTGCACATAAGCACTTACTTTTTAATGTATAAAAACAACTGACAAAATAAAGGTCAGAGGCTTATTTTGAATGACAACAGGTGTCTGAATTCATGCTTCTCCAAGTGCAATTGAAACAATAAATTTGAGCTCCCTTGAATATACCAAAGATCACATTGGATCTATATCAGGTTTTTCGCTTAATCTATACATTTGCTAGCAAAATCATTAGAAGAATGTATAGATAGAATTTTATCCTCAATCTTATGAGCATAGATTTTTGTGGAATGACATGGTGCCTTTTAAAAGTTATTATTTTTAAAGAGGAGCCATGGCTAAGGTGCTGGGTTATACCACAGAAAGATTTAAAAAAAATAAAAAAAAAATTTAAACTAAAGATTTAAACACAGAAAAAAAGAAAAAGAACTATACAGCAAGACAATGATGCCAAGACCAATCAAATGCAGCTGTGCTGGTGCCCAAAGTGATAATTTCATTGTATTTTCACACCTCACAAATATATTGCTTGTTAAATAGAGGGGATAAGTAAACGTAATAGTGAACATTTTCTGACAAGTGGAAGTTTTCCTTTAAAGAGGGTGGTCAGGGGAAACTTTGCACAGTAACTTATGCATGAAAAAAAAAATAACTATTTAAAGGAACATATTGAATAAAAGAGAAATTGCTTATTGGGTCCACAAACATCTATAATTAACAAATTATCTGATAATTAGGGAAAGACTAAGAGTATCTCCAAGGATAATTTCAAATCGGTTTCATACTTTACTGGAAGCTGTATACTAAGAATTGGTTACACAAACGTTGTACATTCAGAGAGCATTTGATAAGTAGGACAAAAGAAACAGTGTAATTGCATCAGACATGAAGAAAAGGAAAAAACAAAACAAAAACTCTATAAGACATAAGACCCTTTGAGTTTGTAATAGAACCACAAAGTGGCTGCATTCCTATGAAAAAAACATTTGCACACAATGTAAAAAGAAAATCTAAATTATAAACAAAACATAAAGCTGCCCCTTTAGGAATATGTTAAAAGTGTATATACATGTATAACAGTTTGCCGGAGTAACCCTTCCAATGTTGATGAATGCTGGCAATGTAGGACCCTAGGGACCATAAGTCTGGCAGGTCCTCATAGTACAAGGTTTGTGAGAGTGCAGATTTTATAAGCACCATGTATATATGACAACTTTATATACAATGCTACTTGCAATAACAAAAAGCCTGCTAAAGTTGCCTTTTACCTTGGAGCCAAATCTTTATTGAAAAGATGTTTCAGACATTTCTTTGCTAGATGCGATATTTAACAGTGTTGCTCTATTTCAGCAGATAGCTACAGCAGAAACTGTTGCAAGACCAGGTGAAATTCCACATGGTTTGTCAGGAAATATTTTCTCATAAATTGCCACGGTCAGCATTTTGCACAAGAGAAAGTTTTTACATATTGCTGTTCCCCCTTGAAAGATAGCCAGTCTACAGTGTGGTCCGATATGAACTATCAACATAATTCAAGCAGGCCAAAGAAATTTTTCACTGATGTACTGAATTGTAGTTACGTTTCAGATCACAGGATTACTGAAACTCACTTTGCCCAGCAGGATCTGTTCTCGCTGCAGTGAAACCAGCAAATACTAGGTAGTGGTTGAGATTTATTGGATTATGTATTAACTTCTATCAACAGTTGCACAGTGAGCAGTAACCCGTAAAGTAATTTAATACATAAAATCAGGAATGGTACTACTTAGTTCTTCCAGCTTGAAAGAACAATTGTCTTTTGGACACATGTACAAGCCCAAAAAAATAAAACCACAAGAGCTACAATTGGCTTATTCTAAAAGCAGCAAGGATCAAAAAGATAAAGGAGAAATATTTTAAGTCAATAGCTGCAGGTGCTCTGGTTCCTAGGTGCACTCTCTCATTGAAAAATACTCCTTATACAAGTTACATACAGAAATATAGATTACATCAAGTACCTATGCACAAGACCAAAAAAAAAAAAAAATAACCCATAATTAAGCAGGCAATCAATATTGGGATTCACATTGGTGAAGTATGCCACAAATAGTCTCTTCAAAACATATGCAGAACAGTGCTATTGTATTCGCCACATCTACTGTCTCAATATAAAAACAATGGAAACATAAAACATTCCTTGAATTCAATACACAGCTCTTATATAGGTGTCTTATCATAACCTTGATCAATTGCTGTCTAGATAGAGATATATTGAACAGTCTCGCTCTCTTTAAGGTGTTTTTTTTGTGCCTTCAAACCATATCAAAGGTGACACACACACGGCTCAAAATTTTCACTCTGCCACACATACAAACAGGGCTTAAAAATGTAAAATCTAGAGCAATTAGCCAGCAGGGGAGAATTTCTACATTCACCAGAGCTAAAAATGTCCAACTAGTGATGAGAATTGTATTTTTTGGGGTGGGGAGGGTGTTATATTGACTGCCACTAAAGGTGCAACTAGCGAGCAATGTAATGCAGTGTTTACATTAAAAAGCTTGCAGGGACAGGCTATAGATACCAGAACAACTACATTAAGCTGTAGTTGTTAAGGTGACTATAGTGTACCTTTAAAAGGGACACTCCAGGCACCTAGACCACTTCTACCCATTAGAGTGGTCTGTGTGCCAACTCCCACTACCCTTAACCCTGCAACTGTAAATATTTACATTGCAGGGTTAACTCCTCCTCTAGTGGCGGTCTACTAGACAGCCACAAGAGGGCATTGCCGCGCATGCGCAATAGGTCTCCCCTGCCGGATGACGTCGGCGGGGGGAGAAGTATGGGCGGACCCTGAACCAGCGCCGAGGGACATCGGCGCTGGATACATGCAAGTCACTGAAGGGGTTTTATATTTTTCTGTACTTAACTTATTTTGCATTGGAATATCATTGAAATGTTGATTGAATGCATTAAAAAAAATATATATATTTATTAATTATGAAAATTAAAAAAAAAACATTTAAAAAAAAAAAAAAAGGTTAGGAACAATTCCCTGTGGTCTCCACTGGTTCACTGCCTGTACAGAAGCAAAGAAGACCATAGAACAGGGGTAAGCAACATTCAGCACTCTAGATGTTGTGGTCTAAATCTCTCCTGATGCTTTGCCAGCATTACGGTTGTAAGAGCATAATGTGAGATAAAGTCCACAACATCTGGAGTGCTGAAGGTTGCCTCTCACCCCAGGTGCATGTATATAGCTAAAGGACGCTGTAGGTACTAATGGTAGGCGTGAGTTTCTCATGTAATTTATTTTAAAACAGCTTTTACATTTTTAAATCATTACATAAAAAATAAATCTCATGTGCTTGAGGTGACAGTTGTCAGGCACATAAATGTGCATCCCTGTTTTCGATTAACATATAGGTGCCTGCCCCCTTTATTCCCCTTAAAAAAAATATATATATTTTGCTCACCTTTATTCCAGCGCCGCGCATATCTGTCTGAGAAGTGGCCACTAGAGGGGTCCTTAGGGAGCAATGTAAACACTGCTTTTTCACTGAAAAAGACAGTGTTTACATTAAAAAAAAAAAACATACAGGGACAGTTATATACACCAGAACAACTACATTATGCTGTAGTTGTTGAGGTGACTATAGTGTCCATTTGCATGTCCTGTTGTCTTTGTAAACATTTAACTCCATATTTTTAAGGAAGCCATGTGTTTTATTTTAAAATAAAAATGCAGAAAACATTAAAATAATATATATATATATATATATTCTTAAATAGTAGGAACTGCTGCACACAGCAAATGTAACATCTTAGCATGAAACATTTAAAATAAACACACTGCTTAATAGTTTTCAACTGCCTACACACATTACTTCAGTCAAAGAGAACCTGATTAGGTGCATAATGCCGCTGGACTTATCAACTTTACATAACCTTGGGATCAGTTTCGGGTCCCAATACTGAAACTGGGAAGCAGACCAAAATATTCCAGGCATGCACCCACTACTCTATGCCACGGGAAAGCCAAGTTAAAAACATCTTCCTTAACTCATTATACCTGCATGAAATAGCCACTCATCACATTATTATCACAATTTGCCTTTATATGGTACCAACTTATTCTACAAAGCTTTAGAATTGTATAATGGAGATACATACCAACAAGTAGTCGACAATCAAAACTAATGTTGACAGAAGTGAAAAGGGCCCTATTCAAACAAGTTTACAAATCACTTATGAAATACAATTCTGCGAAACTGATGGTGAAAAAACCAAACAAAAAACAATTAAAATTACAGCACATAGGCGGGGCCTGCTAACCGACCAGACCAGACGCCATTCTTGAACGCTCCTCCAAAAACGACTAGAAACCCGCCAATATCCGACCAACAAAGCCCCATCTGACCACAAAAACGCTCCAGCGGACCTGCCTAACCGGAGCCGCACCGATAGATGCCGTTTTTATACACGGCGAAACACTCCAAGCCGCGGCGCAGGTCTGCGGCCTACTACGCGCCGACGATCCCGGGCCTGGACGCTCTCCTGCGCGGTAGCTACACTCTGAGCCCGCCAGGCACCGAGCCTCACGCCACCCAAAACTCCATGCCTGCAATGGGACGCCGGTCACAAAAACTGAACTCCACGGCAGACGGCAGGGACATAGGAGACATGCTGAGGCAACCTACACAACCCAAAACGCTCCGCACAGAGGATCAAGGGGCGAGCACCCTGGCGCAGAGGGAGAAAGAACCCACGCTACTCACACAGGCAAGTCTCATAAACTCCATTGAGACCTCTGACGGGTCGGCCCCCACCACCAAAAATGACTTGAAAAACCTGCTTGCTGACATACACAGATTATGGGCAGCAGACCTAAAACTGTTGAGAAACGACATACAAACTATCACAGACCGGGTGCAAACCGCTGAGGAGGATATCCTTGACGCCAGATCAGACATAAAAACTATTAAAGAGACAGTGCACCAACTACAAGAACATCATTCACACTTCTCCCTGCAACTCACGGCCCTAGAAGACAAACAGCGCCGAAATCACATAAAAATACGTGGAATCCCTGATGAAGTTACAGCTGAGGAGCTCCCACACTATCTCCGCAGGTTACTATCCACCATATTACCCCACGCTACCGCCAAAACGATAATCATAGATGGGGTGCATCGCATCAATAGCTCTGCCAAGTTGACACCCGGTGTGGCAAGGGACGTCATCCTTAGATGCCTAACCTTCCAAGACAAAACCCGAATAATGACAGCCTTGAGAAACAAAACGCCTCTGACCTTTGAGGGTTCCTCCTTGTCTTTTTTTCAAGATCTCACCAAAAGCACACTACTCTGGCGCAAATCAATGGGAACTGTCACCTCACAATTGAGAAACGCAAACATCATCTACCGCTGGGGAGCCCCGGGGTCCCTGATCGTACCCCACAATGGAACTAACCACACCATCACCTCTGTAGAAGGGGCACCAGCGCTCATGAAAGCTCTGGGACTGGTAGGGCAGAACAGGGGACAGCACTCTAACACTGCCGCTGGAAACTGGGACCTAGACCGCATCACCCCCTTCGTCCCAAGGAACGACACCTCGCAAGCTACTACCACCTGAACGCACCCGAGTCCGGACATAGAGAACTGTTGATAAATTGTTTAAATTTGTTTTCTCACTTCTCTCTCCTCTATTCTTACATATATACCATGTTTGTGTAGAATGCATAGCAATTGGAGACGACTAATAGTGAATTGGGCCGTAGCCTGAAGCCTCCTGACTTCTCAGCCCCCCCGCTACCCCCTTAGGTTAGGGGTACTTTATAGAAACGGAGGTACAACCCCATAAGTGGGGCGATCTAACACCACTACTGCACACCTGATATTCCCAATCTCAGGCCACCAAACAATCTTTAGAATATGCCCGGGGTGAACACGTACAATCCTCCGTGAGCTAAAATATGCTGACCCCATTCTAGCCCACTAGATACAGTATCTCGAGCATATTAATACCTAAAGCTCGGGAACACCTGAGAGCTCCCACCCATACAACTACCCCCTTATCCAGTCGCCCCTCTCAGACACATCCCGAAAGTTGAACCTTGTTGCATTAAGGAAAAAAATTAAAAATTGGTGCCACAGCATAGTAATGCTCTTGTAAAACTACTCTGTATACCTGCATCTTACATATTTGCCATGTACCAACCATGTCTATATTATGCACCACCAAAATAAAGAATTAAAAAAAAAAAAAAAATTACAGCACATAAATAATGTTACGTAACATTAGCAACACAGTCTGTTGATAATTGTACTGCTGTCTATTAAAAGTACTGTAGATAACATTGCTGGGCTCAAAAGTGTGTGCATTACATCTATTTTCCTGAAAAAGAGCAAAACACCTTTTGCAGCCTTAAAAATAAGAGACACCTATTAGAATGCTAGATGTTACACTTAGCAACATATTGAGTGAAATGCTATAATATAGCGGTTTTAACATCACTGCAGATTTGGGATTTCTGTGGGGAAAGCAAGTCTTATGGCTTGACTGGTGTGCAGATTTTTGTTTAACATTGTAAAAAAAAAAAAAAAAAAAAAAAATTTAAAAAAAAATTATACACACACATATACATACACTGTAAGCTCGTTTGAGCAGGGTCCTCTTCAACCTTTCGTTCCTGTAAGTTTTCTTGTAATTGTCCTATTTATAGTTAAATCCCCCCATAGGCGTGCGCACGGGGTGTGCCGGGTGTGCCTGGGCACACCCTAATCCCCGTGGCACGCCTATGGTTTGAGTCCTGCAGGAACAGCGTTCCTGCAGGCACTCAGTGCCCCCTGTTTCACCTCTTGCCCCTGTCATGGGGAGGGCAAGAGGTGATGGATTCCCCCACCCCCCTTCAGCGCGCGGCGAGGGAGCTGTCTGCTCTCTGCTCCCTCTCGCCGCGCGCTGATGCCGGGAGCCGGAATATGACGTCATATTCCGGCTCCCGGCATCAGCAGACAGCCCGCGCGGCGAGAGGGAGTAGAGAGCAGACAGCAGAGAGCTCCCTCGCCGCGCGCTGAGCTGCAGAGAGGCGCCCGCCCCCACTGGACCCCAGGGAAAAGTCCACCAGCACTCCAGGTAGGAGGCTGGGTGGACATTTTTTTTAAAAATTAAAATATAATAATTTGTGTATGTGTGTGTGTGTCTGTGAGTGTGTGTGTGTCTGTGAGTATGTGTGTGTGTGTCTCTGTGAGTGTGTGTGTGAGTATGTATGTGTGTGTGTGTGTGAGTATGTATGTGTGTGTGTGTCTGTGAGTGTGTGTGTGTGTATATTATATATATATATATATATATATATATACACACACGCAGAATCGGCGCTATCTGAGTGCCGGCTCTGCTCTAAGCCTTCATGGGCCGGCGGGGAGACCAAAGATCTACCTCACCGGCCCACAGCAGCATGGAGGGAGGCAGTAGAGGACCCAGGCAGCTCTAGACAGAAGCTCCGCCAGGTTCCTCTCGCGATATCTGAGCGTTGCTGCGGCAACGCTCAGATCTCGTGAGAGTTAACTCTAGCCCCGCAGGCTAGAGTTCACTCTCCACTAGACCACCAGGGATGGCACATGGCAGCAAGGATTTACTAATCTGCCAAATCCCTCCAAACATACAGCACACACACATACAGCACCTACACACATACAGCTCACACACACACAGTACACTAACCGCACCCTCACAAACACACACAGCACCTTTTAAAAAAAACACAACACCCTCACACACAGCACACTAACAGCACCCTCACAAACAGCACCCTCACAGGACAAACATACACACACAAACAGCACAGTCACAAACACGCACCCTCACACACACATCACAATAACAGCACACACAGCAGTGTGTGTGTGTATATATATATATATAGATAGATATATACACACACACGCGCGTGGCGTGTGTTTGTGCTTTAGGGTGCACACCCTAATGCAATAGGCTGCGCACGCCTATGAATCCCCCCTCTCATAATATTGTAAAGTGAGATATTACACACATACACACACACACACACACACACACACACTTAAATTCCAGCCAAGAGTCTATACTTCGTAATGTATCAAACCCTATAGGACTATCCACAAAATTTTTTGATAATATAAACTATAATGGATAGAATGTAAAAATGTGTCAAAAAAAAAAAAAAAAATCTATACATTCCAAAAGTGAAACAGTGACACTTTTTTCCCCACAAGTATAAAACCTTTCCTCAATATAGACTGACTATTTTCAGCCTCTGGCTTTCCCATCTACTGATCTTATTAAAGGCTCATGGTAGTTTTCTCTAAATTCAGTTCAGAGGATTAGGAAGAGCTCTGTTACGTATGTTTCCCTTACAAGTTGTACATGCATAAATGAGTAATGACAACAAAACACTTTGTACATCTACAAAAACTGCTCACCTTCACTTTTCCTGGCACTGTAGTACCCTGAGGGTGCCCCCACCCTCAAGGACCCCCTCCCGCTGGGCTGGATGGAGAGGAAGGGGTTAAACTTACTTTTTTTTTCAGCGCCGGGTGGGGAGCTCTCCTCCTCTCCTGCTGAATGCGCATGCGCGGCAGGAGCTGCACGCGCATTCAGCCAGTCCATACGAAAGCATTCACAATTTTCACAGTGAGAAGCACACAAGCGCCTCTAGTAGCTGTCAAGAGACAGCCACTGGAGGCTGGATTAACCCTAACAAACATAGCAGTTTCTCTGAAACTGCTATGTTTATATATTTAAAAAAAAAAAAAAAAAAGTTAACCCTAGCTGGACCTGGCACCCAGACCACTTCATTAAGCTGAAGTGGTCTGGGTGCCTATAGTGGTCCTTTAAATCTTTATTTTACATTGAACACACAATATACTTTTATGATGTATGTGGTGCATTTAACATGTATGGGAGCAATTTAAGGTTGTTTGTTTTTACACTTTAAGTACCCCTGAGTTTGCTCATACTGATCGGAGCATGGTGTTGGTGATATCATTTAACTTCTGGTCACTAAACCCCTGCCTCTTAGACACGTGTTTAGTCCAGTGGTTTTTAACTGGAATCCAAACATTACTACAAGAGATTCATATTATGCTTCTGTCCTAATTTACTTTCCCATTAAAACAATAGAAAATATAGATACCAGCAACAGACGACATCACCCCCCCCACCCCATAATTACAGGGACACTATAGTCACCAGAACCACTACAGTTTAATGTTGTGGTTCAGGAGCATATAGTATTCCCCTGAAGAGTCAGCAGTGTAAACACTGAGAAAAGGCACCGTCACTCAGACAATCACTAAGGAACATCCTGGACTAGGACATGGAATCTTTGCAAGATCTATGCTCACCGACTCCACGCTCTGCATGGAGATGCTTAACGCAGAGGAGAACAGGGGGAGGGGGGAGTAAGAAAGGGGGGTAAGAAGTTCTTTATTTGAAATTTAAAGGACCACTCTAAGCACCCAGACCACTTCAGCTTTATGAAGTGGTATGGGTGCCAGGTCCCTCTAGGATTAACCCCTTTTTTTTTTATACTGAGGGTTAATCCAGCCTCCAGAGCCTCTACTGGCTGTCTCATTGACAGCCACTAGAGGCGCTTGCGTGCTTCTCACTGTGAAAATCACAGTGAGAGCACGCAAGCGTCCATAGGACAGCATTGTAAATGCTTTCCTATGCGACCGGCTGAATGCGCGTGCGCATTCAGCCGATGACGTCGCGAGCAAGGAGGAGAGGAGGAGTACAGCTCCCCGCCTGGCGCTGGAGAAAGGTAAGTGTTTAACCCCTTCCTCTCTCCAGAGCCCGGCGGGAGGGGGTCCCTGAGGGTGGGGGCACCCTCAAGGCACTATAGTGCCAGGAAAACGAGTATGTTTTCCTGGCACTATAGTGGTCCTTTAAGTTTTTTTTCCCTGAAATTTCCTTCTTAAAATGAGGTGCGTGTTATACGCCGATAAATACGGTAAGTGGCTACTAAAAATGACTAGACATACCCAGTCTGCAATATCTTGGGTTGTCTACTTTTGCAAATGGTTTGCCATCATGGAGGTAATTCTTATTCCTGGGCTACCATACGGTCTCAAAGGCAACGTAACCAATCTGGCAAATTTCAATGTGAAAAAAAGTGAAATGCAAGCCTTACATTTGACTCTCTAACTTTCCAAAAGACCTGTACATGGGGGGGTACTGTTTTATTCAGGAGACTTCGCTGAACACAAATATTAGTGTTTCAAAATGGTAACTTGTATTACAACAATAATATCAGTAAAAGTGCTGTCACTAAAAATATAATTGTTGTAATACAAGTTACCATTTTGAAACGCTAATATTGGTGTTCAGCGAAGTCTCCCGAGTAAAACAGTACCCCCCATGTACAGATTTTATTGTGTCTTGGAAGTTACAGGGTTAAATATAGTGCTTGCAATGCAAATTCTTTGCACTTTTTGCCTGGGTTGTCAGGCAGGTCAATCAAATTTTAACTAATTAAATCACAATTATGTTAAAATATTACATATACATATATATATACATATATATATATATATATATATATATATATACATATATATATACATATATATATACATATATATATATATATACACACACACACACACACACATATATATACACACACACACACACACTTATTTATAATATATAGGTCATTGTAAGTGTATTTTGTTACACATATATAACAAAATACAGTTAGAATGAAATTACATATGTATATAATTTAATTTTTTTTGAAAATTGTAATTATACGTATATATATCATATATTTAACATCATTTTAAGCGTATTTTAATACTAATATATACTTCTATTAACATTAAATTACACTATGTATGATGTTACATTTAAGATATATACACACACACACACACACACACACTTAAATTTATTTTAATTTTTATTTTTATTTTTTTATTTATTTTTTTTTACACGCACACACGCACACACGCACGCACACACGCACACACGCACACACGCACACACGCACGTTCTTTGATTCAATGTCCGCAATTATATGCTTGCACGGAAAAAAGTGTAAGAACATATAGGTACAAGCATAATACAAAATGCATAAGAGTATAGATTACATATGGTACTGTGATTGTTATAAATAGTTTTTAAGACCAACATATTTTTTCTATAATTTAATATTGTACCTACTTATAGTGACAACGTTAACATAAATAGTTAGAATAATTTCATATGGTGTAAATTCATGAGATCAGTGCAATCAAGTAAATAAGAGATAACTAGAATCATGTTAAGAAATTAAATTCAAACGTTAGGTCTATTCTTTAAAAAAAAAAAAAAAAAAATTCGCAACAGGTGGGCCCTCTATTACAGGCCTACTGCATGGTCAGTTCCGACACACCACAACCAACTGATGCTATTGACTATTGTTTTACAACTATTCTTGCTTTTAACTTCATTCCGGCAATATTGTTGCCAGCACCAATATTGCATACTTTCAAGACATACTTATATTTTACCATTATATTTTATTCTTCTTCACATTTTTTTTACCATGTGATCTTTGTGATACACAATATATCAATATATCTATATATGGACAAGAATATTGTTCAACTTCAAAGTCAATACTTCATTTCCATAGTCCGAGCTGTACATTTGCCAGTTTTGAGGTTAACAGTCGGAAGACATTTATTGAGTTTTTGACTTGCAAAGAAAGAGGACATTGGATTGGGGATTAGGCCACTTATACCCTATTCTGTGCTCTGATTGAAGGAGGGGATATATCCATTTTAGTTTTTTATTTTATAAGTTTGTTTTTTTGATGCAGGAAAGTAAATAAAGAGGCCTCTGTATAATAAAACTCAAGGTTTTATTGTCATTGAATAGTAAAACTTTATATAAATTAGCTTGATGATCCAGTATTAAAAAAGTTACAGTAAGGCAAGTGGCCCGATCTACCAAAATAAATTCTATTAAACAACTTGATTAGGTCTCCCATTGTTAAGAGAGTATTTTACTGCAGAAAGCAGTGCAACTGCTACTGAAAGTTTATTGTGGGCAATTATATGAGGCCTAATGAAAATGATGTACCTGTTCAAACCAAAAAGGAACCAACCCAAGTAAATTAACATAAACCAAGTTTGTCTCCCAATTTTGGGGTTAAATAACTAGTTCTAAATCCACCAGTGCCTTCATCTACATATGTCTAAAAAGACCTAAACAATCTTGTGTGAGTGGGAAGTTACCAACTGTAGACACAACCACAAACAAAATAATAGAAACTATACAATGAAAAAATGTAAGTCACGTATAAAACTTGGAGAGAGAAATTTTTTTTTGCATGTGATGCACCATTTTCTTAACTGGAAATAAAAAGGAGATATAAAAAGACAGCTTAATTTCACTATTCTTTAGGTTTACTCAGCCGTGACTTTTAACCATTTTTAAATACAAGTAAAAAGCAAACATAACATTAAAAAGATTAAAGACAAATCGCTGTAGTTGTTTGGAGGACCTGGCACCCCTGACCCCTATAATAAAGAGTCAACCCATTTTTGAATGGTTTGACTTCTTAACTGGGTATGACGTTCCACTTACCACTTACAGCTAAGTTAGAGCCATTAGCATTGAACGACTTATTTCAAAGAAGAAAGCTTCTTGCACTCAGCAGTAGTGGATTTGGGGAGGGACACCTGGTAGAGCAAAGTCATTCTAAAATGGCTTGGCCAGCATGTTACAGTAGTTAAAATCCCTGGAGTGTTCGTTTAAGGACCACTTGGTGATGATAGACCACCAGTGAGTGTTGCAATTAACATAAGTCAGAGAAAACATCCTTAAAGAAAAAAAATATATGATGGAAACATTTTTACAAATGTTTACTTGATATAAAAACAAAAATTACAGACATCAACATGACCAAATATGGTTTTGTACAAAGTTTGAACCTCTTATTACAACAGAATCAGGCTTTTGATAAAAAAAAAAAAAAAAAAACACAAACACAGGGTACATGATTTCTGTAAGTAGGAGAGCAAACATGTCACTGCATGCATGTACCTGGGCTCGAAAGAGCTTGGAGGAAAATCAAGAAGTCAATCTAGTTATAGAGCCAACAAATTCTCACTACTAAAAAAGATTGTCGATAGGGAGAGATAATGTATGTCAACACTAATGCATATTAACTACGTGAAAGACCCTACACCCGAGCCTTACACCAACACCTTGAACTCCAATCATTTTTGCACAATGCTATTCAAGTGTAAACTTCCATGTGCAACCAAAAATTTCAACAAGAGCTAAAGCCTTTTAATTGCATGAAACACTCCTCCAAATAGCACAAATTGTTTCAATATTTTACAGTCTTTAGTAACTAAAGCAACCTGGCTATTCCTATTGTAAGAAATGGCTTATCTTAGTAAATATAGATGCATACAATGAGTGCATTTCTTATGATGTTCAACATTTGTGAAGTTTAAAAGGGACACTGCAGGCACTATAACAACTTCAACACATTTAAGTGGTTATGGTGCCTGAAGACCACAGGAGCTGGGACCTGAATCATCAGTAAACTAAAGGATTTACTTACCAACAGAGATCCGGTCTCTGTCAATATGCGTCCTGACCCCAATGACAAATTTACTGAGGCAGAAATGTACAGCGCTACGGAATCTGATGGCACTAAATAATAAAATAATTTACAGTGCAATGCTACAGGCCTTAAAAAGGTGTCTTGTGACTATAAGCCATAGTATAACCTTCAGGGGTGAATTTCTACTCACAAAAATTGTCACTCGCAAATGGCAACTTGAAGCAGTCCTGTAAACAGTGGATTCAAGTAAATCACAATGTTTTCATAAATCACAATGCTTATAAAGCGTAACCAACCTTTCAATGCCTTGTCACTCAAACAGCTAAAAATCAGTACTGAAAATGGCACTGTATGATGTGAAGTGATTTCCTACACACCTGATAATTTGGAGGTTGCTTGTGCAATTGGAAATGTAAACAGTGTCTTAACCCATTGAGTGCTATATGCGTGTCCAGCACATAGTAAAAGAGATGTAGTAGAATACTTAAGGTTTGCAAAGGACTAAATTTTGCCACAACATACATTTGAAACAAGACAAAAGAACTACAGAAAAAAAAAAATAATTTTTTTACCCTACAGTAATTTCAAGCAAGGGTGTCCTTTTGCAAGCTTAGAGACAGGTAAATCTGCTTGCCCAGAGGAGACCGTGCACATATTGTGTATTTTAAATGTAGAGACAAGTCTAAACACCGGACAGAAAGGGAGAAAAATTTGCACAGCACCATTCCTCAAAAGCAGGAGTGACTTCATTTACATGACCTCTGCTTTTACCATTACTAGTTTATATCAAAGCATTTTTACACATGCCATTAACTAATCCCCAATGAAAATACCAACAAACAAAGCAAAATGAGCATTTAGGGAAAAAAAACAAACAAAAAAAACGCAACTAATGGTTACTTGATTTAACACTAACATAGGTTTCACGTTTGTGGGCTAAACAGATATATTTCTACTAGCATAGTAATGAAATAAAAATTAGTATTATCAGATCTGCGCCAGGCTCTTCAAAGCATTTTAATTACAGGGCACCAACATTCTAAAGTGCTGTATGATAGGAGTATAAGGCATATGTTTAAAAGTTAAGCCAAGGTTCTGCTCAAACAAGCTTACAACCTAAACATACCTGTTGCCATAGGATAAAATATAAAGAACAAATGAAAAAAACAATGTTTTCGGCATTAATATCACATATAGTTTATCATCAAGTGAGATCAAACTGTCACAAAATTAATCGATAAGAAAAAAAAAAAAAATTAAAAAGAGCATATTAATTAACAGCAAGTATGCAACAATTTAAAAACACATTAAGAAGATCAGAGAGATTAAATCCCTGGCACTGAAGCATTAGGCTAAGCACCAAAGTTTAGCAACCACTGACTCAAGAAATGTACACAAGTCTCCAGATACCATGATCTTACTCCAACATACTAAACCTACCCCAATATTAATATGCAGAGTACATTAATAAGCTGTGGATTGGTGACAAGCTAAAGTGGGCTGTTTGCCATTTTATTGTTTTCCGCCAAGAAGAGGAACCACTGATCCATTAGAATCCAGGGCAGTATAACACGAGTGGCTGTTACAGGCTTAGATGGAAAAAAACACATTTATTCTAGCATTAAAAACTCTGACTTGACAGCTGAGTCAATAGGTTATACAGCACACAAGTTTTCATTTCATTACACAAAATCCCTTGCCAAGTATGTATTCTCTAAAAGTAATACCAACCTAGCAATTAAATAGTACTCAACTTCCTTTTGTGCACTATCTGAACTTTAACCAACATTGTAACCTCTTTGCTGACATTGAAGGAGCCATATAAAATGATACAAGGCAGGAAGGACAACAGAACCATATCTTTGTAAATTGCAAATTCCATGACACAAGGACTATGCATGTCTAGCCTCACAAAACGTTGATCATTGAAAGAAAAATCTGCCCTTACCCCACAGAATACCTTAAATACCTATTTTTGTGTAATATTCGATTACTATGACAAGGAGTCTTTTCAACCTCATACTGGGTAGAACCACCTTATCTAAACCTGAGAATTTTGCTTAGCTCCAGTTGGCACCCCAATGCACATTCTGAGGGGTCATCCACAGCTGTCAGTTCTAGTCCTTCTGTCACTTCCTGCCATCACCCCTATTCCCAGTCTGAGTACTCTCTGCCCGGTCAGTGGGGGTTCACCCCCTGCTGTCTCCCCTGACACCCAGTCAGTGGGGGCTGTCTCCCCCTGCTGTCTCCCCTGACACCCAGTCAGTGGGGGGCTGTCTCCCCCTGCTGTCTCCCCTGACACCCAGTCAGTGGGGGCTGTCTCCCCCTGCTGTCTCCCCTGACACCCAGTCAGTGGGGCTGTCTCCCCCTGCTGTCTCCCCTGACACCCAGTCAGTGGGGCTGTCTCCCCCTGCTGTCTCCCCTGACACCCAGTCAGTGGGGGGCTGTCTCCCCCTGCTGTCTCCCCTGACACCCAGTCAGTGGGGGTTCACCCCCTGCTGTCTCCCCTGACACCCAGTCAGTGGGGGCTGTCTCCCCCTGCTCTCTCCCCTGACACCCTGTCAGTGGGGGGCTGTCTCCCCCTGCTCTCTCCCCTGACACCCTGTCAGTGGGGGGCTGTCTCCCCCTGCTCTCTCCCCTGACACCCTGTCAGTGGGGGTTCTCCCCCTGCTCTCTCCCCTGACACCCTGTCAGTGGGGGTTCTCCCCCTGCTCTCTCCCCTGACACCCTGTCAGTGGGGGTTCTCCCCCTGCTGTCTCCCCTGACACCCAGTCAGTGGGGGTTCTCCCCCTGCTGTCTCCCCTGACACCCAGTCAGTGGGGGCTGTCTCCCCCTGCTGTCTCCCCTGACACCCAGTCAGTGGGGGTTCACCCCCTGCTGTCTCCCCTGACACCCAGTCAGTGGGGGTTCACCCCCTGCTGTCTCCCCTGACACCCTGTCAGTGGGGGGCTGTCTCCCCCTGCTCTCTCCCCTGACACCCTGTCAGCGGGGGTTCTCCCCCTGCTCTCTCCCCTGACACCCTGTCAGCGGGGGTTCTCCCCCTGCTGTCTCCCCTGACACCCTGTCAGCGGGGGTTCTCCCCCTGCTGTCTCCCCTGATACCCTGTCAGTGGGGTTCCCCCCCCTATCCCCAGTAAGAGGTACTCTCTCTCTCTCTCCCCCCGCAGTTGGACCCCTCTATAGCCCAATCCGTGCTCCCATAGTGCGGGTTCAGGAGGTGATCTGGGGGTCCTTTCTTCTGCCCATTACCCCCTTACCCGGTGCTGTGGCTCCCCATGGTGTCCTCGGTTTCCCCAGCCGTGCCGGTGTACGCGGTGCCGGTCTCGTGTTCCCCGGCTGGTCCCGGTGTGCTGAGCAGCTCGGACTCGGCTCTCCCGGCCAGCTTATCCAGCTCCACACTCCGCACTTTGCGCAGCTGCTTGCGCCTCCAGTCCGCCTTCTGCTCCCCAGCCTCCCCTGCCAGATACCCCAACTCCGGGCTGCCTGGAACCGCAGCACCGCCCGCGGCTGCCGTTAATCCGGACGACGCGCTCCGACTCCCCGCCGCAGCCGCCATCTTCCTAGAGCCAGGTTTACATTCGTATCGTACAGCCCATGCACGGGGCGGGGCCAACCGAACGATGGGCGGGGCTACACACTACGCAATATTCCTAACCTGGGAGGGGCGTGTTGGACAGGTACGCAAACTACGTAGCTACAGTACACTTCCTTTACTTTCGATAACACCGGAGCGCAAAGTTAAAGGTGTATCGTAAACTGATGATGATTTACCTGCAACTTATACCTACCTTAGCTTACTATAACATCTACGCATTTTACGTAACCCCACTGCGTGTGTGAAACATATCTACGTAAACTACGTACTGTGCATGCTTGGCTAACATTGCTTACGGGCTTTGCGTACGCAGAGAGCGTAGGTTATGAGTGGGCGTGCACTGTGTTTACCCTGACACCCACAGGAGGCGAATGTGAGGGGTGTGCACGGATTTTAAACTGTGTACCTGATAACAGGCTATCCCTCAGATCAGTGAATCAGCTTTCCTCACAGCTAGTCATAGTAATTATAAATGCCAAGCTGGCACAGAGAGCAAAGTCACTTTACTTCATATTGCCCAAACTAGGGGTGTAACAATTACAAGCATTCTATAAAATAAAAAAATAAAAATATTTTTTAAAAAAAAGAAGGATAATAAAGCAAGGCATGAAGAAGGCTAAAAACACAAAATAAAAAACACCAGAAAACTTAATGTTGTTGTTTTTCTCTGATTAGGTTGGTTTTGTTAAAAAGCTACAGTATTTCCCACAGAGTTGTACAAGTTGTAAATGCCATAATTATGTATTATTTTAATTTATTTATTAAAAGAAGGAATAAATGTCTGGTTTAGAAAAACAAAAACAAAAAACAAGAATGGCTACATTTAACCCTCCAGTTGTTCGGAATATCAGGGTTACTCTTTGCTTAAGTGTGAATTCAAAGTGAGCTTTTTTTTTTCTCTTCAAGACGCAAAGTTAGTTATGCATTGTTTCTTTACCTCCCTCAGTGAAAAAAACAAAACAAAAACATATCACGGACCATACAAACATAAAAACCTAAACTGACATTTAAAAAAAAAAAAAAGTGACAGTGCTGAAATCACAGCACCTTTTAACTAGTCAGGTTATAAATGTATTAGCATTCATATTCCTTAGTCCCTCTTTCTTTGCTGCACCTTCAGACCACAACCATTATTTTTAACATCTATTGTGACCACAGCAATAGTTTATCAAAGGAATCCTACAGTCCTGAAAATTTTTATTTTGGGATCATGGGTTCCTTTGTGTCCAACCCCATTTGACATTAATAAAATATTATTATACTCACCTATCTTCTATGAAAAGTAAAGGACCACTGCACTCAGACCATTTCATTGAGATTAAGTGGTTTGGGTGATTTTTCAGTTAGGTATAGGCCAATGTTGGTTTTATTTATGGTTTTAGACAAACATTTGCACAATTTGGTTTGCTGAGACGATAACTTTATATTGCAGGGTTAAAGGGACATTTTCGGCACCTAGACCACATCATCTCATTACAGTGGTCTGAGTGCAGTGTCCCTGTCCTTCTTAGTCCCTTAATCACAATTTATTTTACCAGGAAGGATACATTGAGATTCATCTTGTTTTCAAGTATGTCCTGGGATGTCCTCACGCTTTGCATGTGAATGTCCAGCATCAGAAGAAAAAAAAAAAAAAAAACATAGGAAACTACTGAGGCAATTTCTTCCTATGGGAAAGGCCTAATGCTCTTGCAGTGCTGGCGGCACATGCACATTAGCTACAACCACCCATCGAATGATATCAGAGGAGGCGAACCGTGACCTAGCGCCGAGGGATATTGGCACTGAAATTGAGTAAGTGAATAAAAGGGTTATTTAACTCTTTAAGAAACACAGGTAGGGGTACTCTCTCCCCGCAGTTGGACTCAGAGGAACATGTTAGTGTTATGAATACAGTTTTTATTTAAGTACACCTCAAGTGGACGCAAAGACGGACTGACAGCATTCTGGGCCCCCAGGCAAAATGAGCCTCTGGGTTAATTCAAGGCCATTACATATGGTCCAGCCATGGATTTACCCCAGTGTTAATGGAACACTCCAAACACAAAGCACTTGAGTGTGTGTGCGCATGTTAGTGACTGTCAGTGTGTGTTTAGAAAATTGGGCAGACTAGATGGGCCGAATGGTTCTTATCGGCCGTCACATTCTATGTTTCTATGTTTGTGAGTGTCTGTCAAATCAGTGAGAGTATGTTTGTCATTGAGTCTGTGTGTGACTATCAGTGTGTCTGTTAATGAGTGTCAATGAGTGTCAGTGTGTGTGTCAATGAATGAGTGTGTCAGATCAGTGACGTCTGTGTGTGACTGTCAGTGGGTATACACCACTGAGTGTAGCGTGTGCACCAAGGGACAGGGAGGGGAGAGAAACACCAAGGGACAGAGAAAAGAGGGGGCTGGGGAGAGGAACACTAAGGGGCAGGGAAGGGAGGGGACCACTAATGGATGGGAGGGGAGAGGGGCTGGTTAAGAGTCACAAAGGTGAAGATGTTATTAGGGTCAGAAAAATGCATCTTTGCCTATGTACCTAAAGATCCTTGCACCGGCCTGACACACACACACACACACACACACACACACACACGTATACTGACATACAGAAACAAACACACAGATACACTCCTGTTAGCTTATCTTTGTATCCTGGAGTATGGCTCGCTTGATGCTCTGGTCCTGGCTGAGGCTGATAGGAGTAAGCATGCAGTGGCAGCTCCCTCCATGCTGCTGTGTGGCTCTGCAGACTCCATGCTGCCTCCTTCCTCCAGTCCTCCTGTGCGGCTCTCCGTGAAGAAGGGAGGAATTGACAGGCTGACATCACTTCCTCCCTGTCGGCTGATAGTCGGCTCTTAAAAGGCCGGCACACCACTGGGCCCTGCTTAGTATTAGGGAAGGGGGGCACAAATCACATATATCCTGGAAACCAAAACAATCTGATATACATTGTCTGTCAGATTGTGTATGTTATTTCCGGGATATTATACATGTGCTGCGGTGTCAAGGAACCACAAGCAAAATGCGTGAGTCATAACAGAACACCTCTTCAGGTTCACTGTCTGAATCAAGCGAGTCCCCAGTGTGGAATCCCTTTACAGCATGGGACTCCTTAGGATCTGGGTGCAGGTGGTAAGCATTTCCATTACCTCGGCAGGAGCAGTGTTCGTGGCTAACAATGCTTTTTCAAACGTTTCAAGATCTTCTGTACAGATTGTAGTGCCATTAGAAGCAATGGCACAATCCACAGGTACATCTTTTTTGGGTGGGCAGGAAGTAGTGATGGTATCACAGGAAGTAACTTCGGCAGTAGATGCAGGCGGCTCTGGAGCAAGGGATGGAAGTTTTCGTGTGGTAGCCAAGCATGGGCAAGAATAACGGCTTCTATGTAGCTTTTTAGGCTGGCATGCAGAGTACACAGGGTGCAGGAAAGTAGTACCCAGTCGGAGAACTGGAGGTCTAGGAGGACGAATAGGACAAAGTGTGATGAAATGCCCTTTTTCTCCATAGGCCATGGCTTCTCCTTTGGTCTCTTTCCCTCAGGTGTCACTTTGCAGTGGACAAGTCCTAATTGCATAGGTTCCTCAGGGTCGAGTGGAACATTGGATACCTCTGGAGTTTTCCTAGGAACAGGATCATAAGGAGGCATCACTGGGGTGTAGTGGTGGTACTGGGTTTCTTGGTTACAAAGAATCAGATTTTTTTGTACGTGGAGCTGGCTTGGGCACAGTGGTCTTGCATTGTGAGTCCATAGCAGTACTGAAGGATTCCCAGCTGACAAGGACAGGACTCTTTGTCTGCAACATTTGGTGAGCCCATACTTTGATGCGTCCAGACAACAGGTTGATAGCCACTCGGACCCTGATGAATTCTGTGGCATATGTTCGAGGCTTTAAAGAAAATAACACCTCACAATCCATCTTGAAGGACTGAAAGGACGTGCGGCTACCATCAAATCGGTCAGGCATGATGACAAACGGTTCAGGATAAGCTGGTTCCGGGGCTGGATGTACTGCGCCTTTAAGAAATAAAATTTCAGATATGTTGCTCACCCTTGCAGATAGCCACAGGCCAAGGTGGTCAGGTAACAATTCACCCGGCCTGTGGGGCTGTGCAGGATGAAGTACCAAGTCGCAGGACAGGCAAGGACTCAAACAACAGGATCGTCAAGGGATAACCGAGATCAAAGGATGCCAGAGGACAGGAACAACAAGGAGTAGCCAAAGTCAAGGGATGCCAGAGGTCATGGTAAACATAGTCAGAAGCCAGGGTCAATAATAAGTAGCAGCTCAAACGACAGGAACACTGGTACACAACAGGATCAAAGACTTGATCCTGATCACAGGGCGAGGCTGGGTTTAAATACCCTGCTGATGTCTGATCAGGGTCAGGTGAAGCACAACCAAAGTCAAGGTACAACCCCCAGAATAATAGACATACCAGGATGAATAGGACCAGAGTGAATTCTTGATAACAAAAGCTGCTGTGGCTCAGAGGTAGGAAGCAAGACCAGGATTGCGAAGTTCCCCGGTTCAAATCCCTTGTTGGGAACTCCTTGGGTGATCATGTCTGGCTGTCTGCTGCAGTGAGAACTGTGACAAGGGGAGAGGTTCCTGGGGGACCCTACTCTGGCTGCTGGACTTTCCTGGAGCAGCAAGATTAGTGGAATGAATCTTAGTGGGGTCTGCGGCTGGTGGGGAGACTGTATTCCAGTGGTTTCTTTATCTAATCGTCAAGCCTGCTGAATTTAAAAAAAAAAAACAACATTCAGCGTATGCTCTGTTGTTTTTTCGTTTGTCTAGTGTATATTCCAGATCTCATAATATAATCTTATATTCCAGTTTATTGTAGAATCACCTTACTAGCGTTCATTTAAAGGTATAGAACCCCCAACCCTTATAGTGTGGAAGAAAAACTTAGACTTCACATATAATAAAAAAACATACAACTCGTAAAACCTAAAAATTAAAAGAAATG